TGCTGTAATGTTGTATGACAGATGTGAAAAAACCATTGCATGCATATACAATAAAGCCGCGTGATGTGATAACTCTCTTCTTATAAAACAAAAACAGTTCAGATTTGATTTGACTTTCCTGCAGACGTTATTTGCTTGACTTTGGAACTTCAGGTGTTTATCTAAGATAATGCCCAAGTATTTTGTTTCATGAACCTCCTGAATGGGTTCATGTTCTAATTGAACCTCAAAGGTGCTGTCAGGGGACCTCCGGCTGATAGAGAAACATATTGAGAATGTTTTCTTTACATTTAAAGTTAAATGGGACAGTTGAAGCCATCTTGAGATGTTATGTGAAGCCTGTGTTAACAGCTGCCCAGCCAGTGCAGATGTTTTTGCTGACACATGAATAACTGTGTCGTCAGCATAAAGCTGGCAGTTTACACCCTGACAGCAATCTGGGAGATCATTTATATACATTGAAAACAGCAACGGTCCTAGGACTGACCCTTGAGGCACTCCTAAGTAATTTGGACTCAGGGTGGATTTAACGCTTCCTACTTTCACACATTGTCCTCTACCCTCCAGGTAGGACTCAAACCATGACAGAGCTGTAGCTGAAAATTGAAATTGCTGTAATTTCTGCAATAAGATGCAATGGTCCACTGTGTCGAAGGCCTTCTTCAGATCTAAAAACACAGCGCCTACGACATTCCCTTTATCCAGTGAACCTTTGATCTGTTCCAACAAAAAGCAGTTGGCTGTTTCTGTGCTGTATTTTTGTCTGAACCCAAACTGCTGGGGATGCAACAGTTGGTTATTTTCAAGATGTTCTATTAATTGCCCAGCTACAATTTTTTCCAGCGCTTTGGAAACTACAGGAAGAATGGAAATAGGCCTGTAGTTGCAGGCTTGGTCTTTGTCGCCTGACTTATAAATTGGAGTGATTACAGCAATCTTCCAGCTCTGTGGGAAAGTGTTTGTTTGTATTGACAAGTTTACAAGGTAAGTTATAGGATCAAGTAAGCTGCTGACCCTTGAGGCACTCCTAAGTAATTTGGACTCAGGGTGGATTTAACGCTTCCTACTTTCACACATTGTCCTCTACCCTCCAGGTAGGACTCAAACCATGACAGAGCTGTAGCTGAAAATTGAAATTGCTGTAATTTCTGCAATAAGATGCAATGGTCCACTGTGTCAAAGGCCTTCTTCAGATCTAAAAACACAGCGCCTACGACATTCCCTTTATCCAGTGAACCTTTGATCTGTTCCAACAAAAAGCAGTTGGCTGTTTCTGTGCTGTATTTTTGTCTGAACCCAAACTGCTGGGGATGCAACAGTTGGTTATTTTCAAGATGTTCTATTAATTGCCCAGCTACAATTTTTTCCAGCGCTTTGGAAACTACAGGAAGAATGGAAATAGGCCTGTAGTTGCAGGCTTGGTCTTTGTCGCCTGACTTATAAATTGGAGTGATTACAGCAATCTTCCAGCTCTGTGGGAAAGTGTTTGTTTGTATTGACAAGTTTACAAGGTAAGTTATAGGATCAAGTAAGCTGCTTAGATGTTTTTTAATTAGAGCTACATTGAGATTATGTATGTCTCTTGATGTAGAATTTTTCATATTGACTATAATTTTCCTTACTTCATCATGCAAAACTTCTCTGATTTTAAAATGATCTGTACTGCTACGCTGAGCTTTTCTCTCAGAAGGCAATTTGCCCTTGAATGGTTTGGCAAGATCGTGGACTGATTCAACAAAGAATTTGTTGAACTCGTTTGCAATTGACTGATTGTCATTAACATAATTATCATCAATTTTAAGGCAATCTGTCATTTGAAGATTTTTCCGATTAGAATTTGTCAATTTGTTTATAGGTTGCCATAGTTTGGAGCTGCTTCCATTTGCTTCTTCTATCATTTTTATAAAATATTTAGTTTTAGCTTTGCGCAGCTCACTTGTGACTTTATTCCTGAGGCCAGTGAAAATGAGATGGTCGGTATTATTCCTAGATTTGAAGAACTTTTTGAGTGCAAGGTCACGATTTTTAGCCATTCGCCAAATGTCACTATTGAACCACGGAAGAGAATACCTTCTTGGTTTACTTGTCCAGCTTTGTGTGTGTTTATTTATTACATCATTTAATTTAGTGACAAAATTGGATGCACTCAAATTTAAATCAGACTCAGCAGTAACACTGTTCCAATTAATTTGGTTTAACTCATTTTCAAAATCATTTATTTTTGCTTTGGGAATTCCTGTTGTTTTCATTTTGTTCTCTGCTTTGTTATGATTAATGAGACGCTTTTTAGTTAACTTTCTGACAACTAATGTCATATTATGATCGGTAAGCCCTGTTATCAGGTTATATGTTTTACTTATTCTTTCTGGTCTATTTACAAAAATCAAGTCAATCAATGTTTCGCTGTGTCTGGTGATTCTAGTAGGTTTGTTTATCATTTGCTTATATTTGAATTATCCATCAAAGATTTCAGCTTTGTTCTGCTTTTTTTCTCCTGCCAATTTATATTGAAATCACCCATAATTATACATTCAGTACATTTATCAACATTCAATAGGAGACTCTTAAAATCATCATAGAAATTGGCTCCATGTGAGGGTGGATTGTAGATAACGATTAATTTAAATTTCATTGTTGTAGACAGAATTACATTTAGCCCCAGGCATTCCAGTTTCACATCAATGTAAACTTTCTCACATTTAAATATTTCTTTAATGTATAATAGCACACCCCCACCCCGTCCTTGGTCCCTGTCTCTCCTGTAACACTTGTAACCAGGTATGTTGATCAGGTTTGTTGGAGTGGATGAATTCAGCCAACTCTCAGTCACACATAGGTAATCCAAGTTAGAGTCAGTTAACAATCTATTAATTTGATCTATTTTTGGTAGAATACTCCTTATATTGATGTGTCCTCCTAACATCCCCTTTGGTTTTGTTTGGGGATTCCAAATAATCTGGGCATGATTTACAGCACACTGGAGACTTTTCGCTAATGTATTCCAATGTGTTTTTTTTACTGCAAATGGCAAATGAACTGAATCTGAATCTGTGTGTGTGTACATTTGTGTGTGTGTAACTTGGACTGTGTGTGTGTGTGTGTGTAACTTGGATTGTGTGTGTGTGTACCCAGATTTGTGTGTGTGTGTGTAACTTGGACTGTGTGTGTGTGTGTAACTTGGATTGTGTGTGTGTACCCAGATTTGTGTGTGTGTGTAACTTGGACTGTGTGTGTGTAACTTGGATTGTGTGGGTGTACCCAGATTTGTGTGTGTGTAACTTGGATTGTGCGTGTGTGTACCCAGATTTGTGTGTGTGTAACTTGGATAGTGTGTGTGTGCACCCAGATTTGTGTGTGTGTAACTTGGACTGTGTGTGTGTAACTTGGACTGCGTGTGTGTGTACCTTGGACTGTGTGTGTGTGTAACTTGGACTGTGTGTGTGTACCTTTGTGTGTGTGTAACTTGGACTGTGTGTGTTTACCTTGGACTATGTGTACCCAGATTTGTGTGCGTGTAACTTGGACTGTGTGTGTGTACCTTTGTGTGTGTAACTTGGACTGTGTGTGTGTGTACCCAGATTTGTGTGTGTGTAGTTTAGACTGTGTGTGTGCCTTTGTGTGTGTGTAACTTGGACTGTGTGTGTGTGTGTGTGTGTACCTTTGTGTGTGTGTAACTTGGACTGTGTGTGCGTTTACCCAGATTTGTGTGTGTGTGTGTAACTTGGACTGTGTGTGTGTAACTTGGACTGTGTGTGTGTACCCAGATTTGTGTGTGTGTGTAACTTGGATTGTGTGTGTGTACCCAGATTTGTGTGTGTGTAACTTGGACTGTGTGTGTGTAACTTGGATTGTGTGGGTGTACCCAGATTTGTGTGTGTGTAACTTGGATTGTGTGTGTGTACCCAGATTTGTGTGTGTGTAACTTGGATTTTGTGTGTGTGTGTGTACCCAGATTTGTGTGAGTGTAACTTGGATTGTGTGTGTGTGTACCCAGATTTGTGTGTGTGTAACTTGGACTGTGTGTGTGTGTGTACCTTTGTGTGTGTAACTTGGACTGTGTGTGTGTGTAACTTGGACTGTGTGTGTGTGTGTGTGTACCTTTGTGTGTGTAACTTGGACTGTGTGTGTGTGTACCTTTGTGTGTGTGTAACTTGGACTGTGTGTGTGTGTGTGTAGCAGAACAATCTGTAAATAACCACGTTGTAAGAAAAGAAGAACGGAAAAAAAGTGGAGATTTGTGTAATGTGGTTGTTCTAGCACTGTACCAGCAGGTGGTGCTGTTGTAGCTGGTTATTACACACACACCAACACTCACTGCCTCAGCCGTTGATGATGTAATTACACCTGTGCGTCTCACCCACAGACTGTAAATATTAACGGACAGAGTCACGCCTATCTCCGCCGTTCTAACTAATGGGCCAAAATATGTGCTCTACCAAGAGCCAACTTTTGGTCCATCCTGTAAAGACGTTTTTGAGAGGTCACCTTATGCTATATGTTAGCATTGGCTAATTCTTATTCCGGGTCCACCCCCATCGGCCCGGGGTGGTATTGCAGCATGTCAGCGCACGTCATTTTGGACACTTTTAAGCCGGGACCCGCCCCCAATGAACGTAAACAGGAAGTCCTTAGCAGCATCAGAACGTAAACAGGAAGTCCTTAGCAGCATCAGAACGTAAACAGGAAGTCCTTAGCAGTATACGGAAGTAAACCGGAATTTTGTGGAAAACTTGTCTATCGACTTCCACGTAAATGTAAACTCCTCTCAGTTACATTTGTGTGACATCACCATTTTGGGCTTGAATCTGTGGTTTCTCTATGATCCAGTGTTTATACTGTGGTGACGTCACACTGTGATGATGTCACACTGTGGTGATGTCACACTGTGGTGATGTCACACTGAGGTGATGTCACACTGAGGTAATGTCACACTGTGGTGATGTCACACTGTGGTGATGTCACACTGTGGTGATGTCACACTGAGGTGAAGTCACACTCACCATGTCCATGATTAGATGTCCACAAGCATTGCACTTCTCTGCAGACTGTTGGAAGCCCGAGTACTGCAACACACACACAGACACACACACAGACACACACACACACACAGACACACACACAGACACAAACACACACACACACACACACACACACATACACACAGACAAACATACAAACACATACACACACACACAGACACACACAAACGCACACAGACACACACATTATGATGTAGTGCATGTACAGAGTTCAAAGGACGATGTGAAAAAGACGTTACAAACTCACCAAAAAGTCTTCTTCACAAAAAACCTTTCCCCCAACGTAATAGAAGGCTTTACCTCTGAGCCTGCGACCTACACACACAGACACACACACAGAGACACACACAGAGACACACACACAGACACACACACAGACACAAACACACGGGAAACACATGAGACACATTGATGAAAAATGTGTTTAAAGTGACTAAATTATGATTTATTTCAGTCATCACATCAGAGGCTCAGGAGAGACCAGAGAGAGAGACCAGAGAGAGAGACCAGAGAGAGACCAGAGAGAGAGACCAGAGAGAGACCAGAGAGAGAGACCAGAGAGAGAGACCAGAGAGAGAGACCAGAGAGAGATCAGAGAGAGACCAGGGGGAGCCCAGAGAGAGACCAGAGAGAGACCAGAGAGAGACCAGAGGGAGCCCAGAGAGAGACCAGAGAGAGACCAGAGGGAGCCCAGAGAGAGACCAGAGAGAGACCAGAGAGAGACCAGAGAGAGACCAGAGAGAGACCAGAGAGAGACCAGAGGGAGCCCAGAGAGAGAGACCAGAGAGAGACCAGAGAGAGAGACCAGAGAGAGACCAGAGAGAGACCAGAGAGAGACCAGAGGGAGCCCAGAGAGAGAGACCAGAGAGAGACCAGAGAGAGCCCAGAGAGAGACCAGAGAGAGACCAGAGAGAGAGAGAGAGAGACCAGAGGGAGACCAGAGAGAGACCAGAGGGAGCCCAGAGAGAGACCAGAGAGAGAGACCAGAGAGAGAGAGAGAGAGACCAGAGGGAGACCAGAGAGAGACCAGAGGGAGCCCATAGAGATAGACCAGAGGGAGACCAGAGAGGGACCAGAGAGAGACCAGTGAGAGAGACCAGAGAGAGAGAGAGAGAGAAAGAGGGAGGCCAGAGAGAGACCAGAGAGAGACCAGAGAGAGACCAGAGAGAGAGACCAGAGAGAGACCAGAGAGAGCCCAGAGAGAGAGACCAGAGAGAGAGACCAGAGAGAGAGAGACCAGAGAGAGACCAGAGAGAGACCAGGGGGAGCCCAGAGAGAGACCAGAGAGAGACCAGAGAGAGACCAGAGGGAGCCCAGAGGGAGCCCAGAGAGAGACCAGAGAGAGACCAGAGAGAGACCAGAGGAAGCCCAGAGAGAGACCAGAGAGAGACCAGAGAGAGACCAGAGAGAGCCCAGAGAAAGCCCAGAGAGAGAGACCAGAGAGAGACCAGAGAGAGACCAGAGAGAGATCAGAGGGAGCCCAGAGAGAGAGACCAGAGAGAGACCAGAGAGAGACCAGAGAGAGACCAGAGGGAGCCCAGAGAGAGACCAGAGAGAGACCAGAGAGAGAGAGAGAGAGACCAGAGGGAGACCAGAGAGAGACCAGAGGGAGCCCATAGAGATAGACCAGAGGGAGACCAGAGAGGGACCAGAGAGAGACCAGTGAGAGAGACCAGAGAGAGAGAGAGAGAGAAAGAGGGAGGCCAGAGAGAGACCAGAGAGAGACCAGAGAGAGACCAGAGAGAGAGACCAGAGAGAGACCAGAGAGAGCCCAGAGAGAGAGACCAGAGAGAGAGACCAGAGAGAGAGACCAGAGAGAGACCAGAGAGAGACCAGGGGGAGCCCAGAGAGAGACCAGAGAGAGACCAGAGAGAGACCAGAGGGAGCCCAGAGGGAGCCCAGAGAGAGACCAGAGAGAGACCAGAGAGAGACCAGAGGGAGCCCAGAGAGAGACCAGAGAGAGACCAGAGAGAGACCAGAGAGAGACCAGAGAGAGCCCACAGAAAGACAAGAGAGAGAGACCAGAGAGAGACCAGAGAGAGACCAGAGAGAGACCAGAGAGAGATCAGAGGGAGCCCAGAGAGAGAGAGACCAGAGAGAGACCAGAGAGAGACCAGAGAGAGACCAGAGAGAGACCAGAGAGAGACCAGAGGGAGCCCAGAGAGAGACCAGAGAGGAACCAGAGAGAGACCAGAGAGAGAGACCAGAGAGAGACCAGAGATAGAGAGACCAGAGAGAGACCAGAGAGAGACCAGAGGGAGCCCAGAGAGAGAGACCAGAGAGAGACCAGAGAGAAACCAGAGATAGACCAGAGGGAGCCCAGAGAGAGACCAGAGAGGAACCAGAGAGAGACCAGAGAGAGAGACCAGAGAGAGACCAGAGAGAGAGAGACCCGAGAGAGAGACCAGAGAGAGACCAGAGAGAGACCAGAGGGAGCCCAGAGAGAGAGACCAGAGAGAGACCAGAGAGAGACCAGAGGGAGCCTAGAGAGAGAGACCAGAGAGAGACCAGAGAGAGACCAGAGAGGGACCAGAAAGAGACCAGAGAGAGAGAGAGAGAGAGAGAGACCAGAGGGAGACCAGAGAGAGACCAGAGGGAGCCCATACAGATAGACCAGAGGGAGACCAGAGAGGGACCAGAGAGAGACCAGTGAGAGAGACCAGAGAGAGAGAGAGAGAGAAAGAGGGAGGCCAGAGAGAGACCAGAGAGGGACCAGAGAGAGACCGGAGAGAGAGACCAGAGAGAGAGAGAGAGACCAGAGGGAGACCAGAGAGAGACCGGAGAGAGAGACCAGAGAGAGACCAGAGAGGAACCAGAGAGAGACCAGAGAGAGAGACCAGAGAGAGACCAGAGAGAGACCAGAGGGAGCCCAGAGAGAGAGACCAGAGGGAGCCCAGAGAGAGAGACCAGAGAGAGACCAGAGAGAGACCAGAGAGGGACCAGAAAGAGACCAGAGAGAGAGAGAGAGAGAGACCAGAGGGAGACCAGAGAGAGACCAGAGGGAGCCCATAGAGATAGACCAGAGGGAGACCAGAGAGGGACCAGAGAGAGACCAGTGAGAGAGACCAGAGAGAGAGAGAAAGAGAAAGAGGGAGGCCAGAGAGAGACCAGAGAGAGACCAGAGCGAGACTAGAGAGAGACCATTGAGAGACCAAAGAGAGAGAGAGAGAGAGAGAGAGACCAGAGAGGGACCAGAGAGAGGCCGGAGAGAGACCAGAGAGAGAGAGAGAGAGACCAGAGGGAGACCAGAGAGAGACTAGAGATATTCCTGATATTGTGATCTTTTCACTCAGATGTATAGAGGAAGCAGCAACATTCCAGGCATTTTCCACATGAGCGGGAGGAGGAGGGATAGGGGGAGAGGAGAGGGGGGTGGGGGGAGAAAAGGAGGGAGGAGGATGACGAGGAGAGAAATCTCTCATTTCTCACTTGAGAAATTGCAAAAACTAATTTATCTGCAATACTTTTGTTTTAATGACAGAAAGCTGTGATGTCACAGTGATGTCACCGTGATACGATGACATCATAATGTTACAGAAGCTTTGAGACAGAAGGGGCGGGGCTACATGTTTGCTCGTAGTGTGGGTGGAGCTAAACACAGCCGCAGGTCTGTGATTAGGGACTGGAGGAGCGCTCAGAGAGGTCACATGTTGTGATGTCACACGTTGTGATGTCACATGTTTTGCAGCTGGTGAAGAACCTCATGATGAACACGAGACTCAGGAGGCGGCAGAGTGGTTAGCTCTGGGTTCAGGGCCTTTCTGAGCACAGTTCTCCCTCTGTCTGCTCCAGTTTCCTCCAGGTGCTCCGGTTTTCCCCTAACACACACACACACACACACACACAGAGGTGCCTGTAGCCACAGCTGCCCTGGGGCAGGTACTCACTGCAGGCGCTGCAAGTGAAGCAGCTGTCGTGGTACAGACGTCCCATGGCTTGACACGCCTCACCTGGTCCCAGCACCAGGGCCTGGCAACACACACACACACCTGCAACACAACACAACACACAAGTTTAGACACACACAAACACCTGCAACACACACAACACACAAGGTTAGACACACACACACCTGCAACACAACACAACACACAAGGTTAGACACACACACACACAAACCTGCAACACACACAACACACAAGGTTAGACACACACACACCTGCAACACACACAACACACAAGGTTAGACACACACACACCTGCAACACAACGTTTGACCTGGGACTCTATAGAAACACAGACGTCTGTGACTTTAAAGCTCAGGTCTGTGACTTTAAAGCTGGGGTCTGTAACTTTAAAGCTGGGTCTGTGACTTTAAAGCTGGGTCTGTGACTTTAAAGCTGGGGTCTGTGACTTTAAAGCTGGGGTCTGTGACTTTAAAGCTAGGGTCTGTAACTTTAAAGCTGGGTCTGTGACTTTAAAGCTGGGTCTGTAACTTTAAAGCTGGGTCTGTGACTTTAAAGCTGTGGTCTGTAACTTTAAAGCTGTGGTCTGTGACTTTAAAGCTGGGGTGTGTGACTTTAAAGCTAGGGTCTGTAACTTTAAAGCTGGGGTCTGTGACTTTAAAGCTGGGTCTGTAACTTTAAAGCTAGGGTCTGTAACTTTAAAGCTGGGTCTGTGACTTTAAAGCTGGGGTCTGTGAATTTAAAGCTGGGTCTGTGACTTTAAAGCTGGGTCTGTGACTTTAAAGCTGGGTCTGTGACTTTAAAGCTGGGTCTGTGACTTTAAAGGTGGGTCTGTGACTTTAAAGCAGGGTCTGTGGCTTTAAAGCTGGGGTCTGTAAACTAAAGTCGCGGAAATAAAAGGTGCTCTTTCAATCCTGAGGCTTTTGTGTGTTTATGTGACCAGCAGAGAGGTTTATGTGGTCAGATCTGTGTGTGACGTGCGACATCACAACATGAACCTGAGGCTGAACACGTGGACTGTCTGGTTGTACACAAACACAGCTTTAAATGACTCTCTCTGGTCTCTCTCTCTGATCTCTGTCTCTCTGGTCTCCCTCTGGTCTCCCTCTGGTCTCCCTCTGGTCTCCCTCTTGTCTCCCTCTGGTCTCCCTCTGGTCTCCCTCTTGTCTCCCTCTGGTCTCCCTCTGGTCTCTCTCTGGTCTCTCTCTGGTCTCCCTCTGCTCTCTCTCCCACTTAAGCCTCTGAGTCACAGAGAGTGGGCCTCAGCCACAAACAACACGTCTATTTATGAACCAGAGGAATCCAGTCCTCTGTGAGAGACCAGAGAGAGACCAGAGAGAGAGACCAGAGAGAGAGACCAGAGAGAGAGACCAGAGAGAGAGACCAGAGGGAGACCAGAGAGACCGGAGAGAGACCAGAGAGAGAGACCAGAGGGAGACCAGAGAGACCGGAGAGAGACCAGAGAGACCAGAGCTGTCTGTGTCTGTTTTGGCTCTTACCAAAGTAGTCCTTGGTGTCCGTGTCCAGGCGCTCCAGCTTCAGATCCACAGCTGAGGGTCCCCGATGAGGTCCCTGTGGAGGCCCCTGTGGAGGCCCCTGTGGAGGTCCCTGTGGAGGCCCCTGTGGAGGTCCCCGATGAGGCCCCTGCTCTGCTCCGGGGCCTGGTGCCACGCGTGCGGCTGTGACAGCTTCATAAGGCACGTGATGTGATGTCACACTTTGGCTTTTCACGGCAGGAGCAGCCGCCGTCAGAGCGAGTCTCTCCACCGAGGGCCCCACCGAGGGTCCCAGGGCCGCGGGGAGTGTGTACTGCGGGGAGATGGAGGGGAGGTCCCCGGGGGAGGACGGGAGGGGCTCCGCTCTGACTCCACTGAGGTCCCTGGTCCCTGTGTTGCTCACGAGGGAGAGAGCATCTGTGGGGCCTCCTGCCTCCCTGTAGGGGCCCCCCGCCTCCCTGTAGGGGCCCCCTGCCACCCTGTAGGGGCCTCCCGACTCCCCGTAGGGCCCCCCAGTGCTCCCGTAGCTGTGTCGGAGTGGCTCCTGGAGGTGCCCAGGGGCGGACAGCAGAGGAGGCTTCGCGGCCGCCTCCCCCGCGGCTCTAACGGAGCTGATGGGAGGTCTGTGGGAGTACAGTCCCCAGCTGCTCCTCTGCTCCTCCTGCTTCAGGAGGTGGCTGCTCCTCTGCTCCTCCTGCTGCAGGAGGTGGATCCTTGTCATTTTGGAGGCAAAAACTTTTCTAGTCTCCTCAAAGTCCGGGTTGTTTCCTGCGTCTCTCCGCGTCCGGAAGAGTCCGTCCCGAGAGGCCTCGAACATGTTCAGGTCCTCCATGAACTTGGAGGCCTCCAGCCCCAGCTCCGAGTACTTATCCATACTGCTGCTGTGTCTGCAGCTGTGTCCTGTAGCTGTGTCTGCAGCTGTGTCCTCACGCTCCAGACGCGGGTCCTCAAGGCGCGAGTTCGAGTCCAAAGTCCGTGTTGTTCTAACAGTGAGTTGCTCAGTTCAGTGAAACTAGAGCCGCTATAACCGTCCCCCCCTCCCTCTCTCCCCCTCCCTCTCTGTCCCACCAGGAGGAGAAGTCATTCACAAGAGTCTTCAGCAGAGCGCAGGGGAAGGAGGGGGAGGAGGAGGGGGAGGAAGGGGAGGAGGGGGAGAAAGGGGAGAGTGGGTCACGTGGGTATAAATCGCGGAATTTTACGCACGGTCAGAAGAGGGACGTGGCCCGGAATGTGCTGTGGTCAGGGGCGCATGCGCAGTCTGCAGTGTGGACAGGAAAGTTAGGAGTGTTTAAAGCTGAGGTCTGTTTCTTTAGTCTAAATTACTCAATTGGTTTTAGGTTTCTGTCTGGTCTCTCTCTGGTTTCTCTCTCTGGTCCCTCTCTCTGATCTCTTTCTGGTTTCTCTCTCTGGTTTCTCTCTCTGGTCCCTCTCTCTGATCTCTTTCTGGTCTCTCTGGTCTCTTTCTGGTTTCTCTCTCTGGTCTCTCTCTCTGGTTTCTCTCTCTGGTTTCTCTCTCTGGTCTCTCTCTCTGGTCTCTCTCTGGTCTCTCTCTCTGGTCTCTCGCTGGTCTGTCTCTCTGGTCTGTCTCTCTGGTCTCTCTCTGGTTTCTCTTTCTGGTCTCTCTCTCTGGTTTCTCTCTCTGGTCTCTCTCTCTGGTCTCTCTGGTCTCTCTCTCTGGTTCCTCTCTCTGGTCTCTCTCTCTGGTCTCTCTGGTCTCTCTGGTCTCTCTCTGGTTCCTCTCTCGGGTCTCTCTCTCTGGTCTCTCTCTCTGGTTTCTCTCTCTCTGATCCCTCTCTCTGGTCTCTCTGGTTTCTCTCTCTGGTTCCTCTCTCTGGTTTCTCTCTCTGGTTTCTCTCTTTGGTTTCTCTCTCTGGTTTCTCTCTCTGGTTCCTCTCTCTGGTTTCTCTCTCTGGTTTCTCTCTTTGGTTTCTCTCTCTGGTCTCTCTCTCTGGTTTCTCTCTTGTCTCTCTCTCTGGTCTCTCTCTCTGGTCTCTCTCTGGTTTCTCTCTCTCTGGTCTCTCTCTCTGGTCTCTCTCTCTGGTCTCTCTCTCTGGTTCCTCTCTCTGGTCTCTCTCTCTGGTTTCTCTTTCTCGGGTCTCTCTCTCTGTTGTCTCTCTCTGGTCTCTCTCTCTCTGGTTTCTCTCTCTGGTCTCTCTCTCTGGTCTCTCTCTGGTCTCTTTCTCTGGTCTCTCTCTCTGGTCTCTCTCTGGTCTCTCTCTCTCTGGTTTCTCTCTCTGGTCTCTCTCTCTGGTCCCTCTCTCTGTCTGCGTAGGTTTCCCCCGGGTACTCCGGTTTCCCCTACCACTAAAAATATGTACAATAGGTCTGGCATGCGCCTCCTGTTCGGTGACCCCGCTCCCATCTCTGTGTGGAGTGAGAGGACAAGTGCCCAAAAAATAACAATTGTAAACCGCTTTGTGACTCTGGTCTGTGAAAAGGCGGTATATATAAATAAATAAAGCTCCAGTACTCAGTACTCCAGTACGCTCTACTCCAGTACGCTCTACTCCAGTACTCAGTACTCCAGTACTCAGTACTCCAGTACGCTCTACTCCAGTACGCTCTACTCCAGTACTCAGTACTCCAGTACTCAGTACTCCAGTACTCAGTACTCCAGTACGCTCTACTCCAGTACGCTCTACTCCAGTACTCAGTACTCCAGTACTCAGTACTCCAATACGCTCTACTCCAGTACTCAGTACTCCAGTACGCTCTACTCCAGTACTCAGTACTCCAGTACTCAGTACTCCAGTATGCTCTACTCCAGTACTCAGTACTCCACTACTCACTACTCCAGTACTCAGTACTCTTCTGTTTTAGGTGACGTCTTATTTCACGGAGGATTTTCTGTTTAATGCAGCAATCTCTCGACTCATGGGTCTGAGCAACGCACTCTCTGTAAGACACGCACACACTCTGTAAGACACACACACACTCTGTAAGACACACACACACTCTGTAAGATACACACACACTCTGTAAGACAAACACACACTCTGTAAGATACACACACACTCTGTATGACACACACACACTCTGTAAGATACACACACACTCTGTAAGACACACACACACTCTGTAAGATACACACACACTCTGTAAGACACACACACACTCTGTAAGACACACACACACTCTGTAAGACACACACACACACTCTGTAAGACACACACACAATCTGTAAGACGCGCACACACAGACACACACACACTCTGTAAGACACACACACACTCTGTAAGACGCACACACACAGACGCACACACACTGCAGTTCAGAGAGTTTAAAGGTCCCATGTGTGTCATAATGATGTGGCTGATACACAACACTCAAAACTTACACATTCGAGACATTTCATTTTCTCCTCTGTGAGCCTCCCCCTCCCTCACCCCTGTTGTGTGTGTGTGTGTGTGTGTGTGTTGCAGGCCTCCTCCCGTCCTCTAACAGTGTGTGTGTGTTTTGTGTGTTGTTGTGTTGCAGGCCTCCTCTCCTCCGCTCCTCCTCTAACAGTGTGTCTGTGTGTGTGTGTCTGTGTCTGTGTGTTGTGTTGCAGGCCTCCTCTAACAGTGTGCGTGTGTGTCTGTGTGTTGTGTTGCAGGCCTCCTCTAACAGTGTGTGTGTGTTGTTGTGTTGCAGGCCTCCTCTAACAGTGTGTGTGTGTTGTTGTGTTGCAGGCCTCCTCCGCTCCTCTAACAGTGTGTCTGTGTGTGTGTGTTGTGTTGCAGGCCTCCTCCCCTCCGCTCCTCTAAAGGGGCGTTCACACCGGACTTAACTTCGGCGTCAAAAGCGTCAGGTTTCCATTAAAAGTGAATGGTGAAGCGCGTCAGGTGAAGCCGAGGGGCCCGGCGTCACTTGACGCGCGTCAAAAGCTTCAAGAATCGCGCGTACTACGCGCTCACTTGAAGCTTTTGACGCGCGAAACGCTCGCGTATCACAACAATCCCTTTGACGCCGAAGCTGAGCAAAGCTGAGCTTTTGAAGCTTTGACGCGGGCTTCAACCAATCAGGAGACGAGGAGCAGCAGCAGCAGAGGGTCTGTCTCTGTCATGGAGAGAAGTCATGTATCTGCTGCTGCTGTTTTATTGTCATTATTGTTATTAGTAATATTATTTGTATGAGTAGTAACATTCTGAGTAACAAAAATCATTGTACACATGCTGTGTAGTAAACGTAGTTTATTTAAAATAAGAACAGGCTGACGATGGGTCTGGCTCAGAGCAAGGCAGCTCCGGGCGGGCGAGAGGCAGGGAGAGGCAGGGAGAGGCAGGGAGAGGCAGGGAGAGGCAGGGAGAGGCGAGCGAGAGCCGGGGAGAGGCAGGGAGAGGCAGGGAGAGGCGAGCTCCGGGGTTTGAGAACCCAGACTGGGCGAGTGACATGCGGAAGTACCGCTGAAAGCGAAACTCCTCCGTACGCAGCTCCTGGAGTAAATGACGGAACTCTGCAAACACTGCAGCCTCTCAAGTCTGTGGTGAACCCAGAACATGTTTTGTTGAAGCCCTACAACAACGTTATTTTGCTTTATATAACAAATAAAGGCTCGCTGCTCATTGAAAAATCCACCGCTGTCCTGACTACAGACAACAGAGAAGCTCCTCCCACCGGCGTCAGGCGCGTCACTCGCGTCAAAAGCTTCAAGCACCAAAATGACAAAACTATCCCAGCGTCAGTTGAAGCGCGTCAAAAGCTTTTTGAAGCTTTTGGTCTGAACGCGCCTTAACAGTGTGTGTGTGTGTGTGTGTGTTGCAGGCCTCCTCCCCTCCTCTAACAGTATGTGTGCGTGTGTTGCTGTGTTGCAGGCCTCCTCTCCTCCTCTAACAGTGTGTGTGTCTGTGTGTGTGTGTTGTGTTGCAGGCCTCCTCTCCTCCTCTAACAGTGTGTGTGTGTGTGTCTGTGTGTTGTGTTGCGTTGCAGGCCTCCTCCCCACCTCTAACAGTGTGTGTGTGTGTTGTTGTGTTGCAAGCCTCCTCCCCTCCTCTAACAGTGTGTGTGTGTGTGTGTGTGTGTGTTGTTGTGTTGCAGGCCTCCTCCGCTGCTCTAACAGTGTGTGTGTCTGTGTGTGTGTGTTGTTGTGTTGCAGGCCTCCTCCGCTTTTCTAACAGTGTGTCTGTGTGTGTGTTGTGTTGCAGGCCTCCTCTCCTCCGCTCCTCTCTCACAGTGTAGAGTTTGAAGAGGCTCTTTCTGCTCTGGTTCTGATGACGGCTCCTCTGGCTCCGCACCTGTGCTCCGAGCTCTGGGCAGGTCAGTACCTGAGGGTCAGTACCTGTGGGTCAGTACCTGTGAGTCAGTACCTGTGGGTCAGTACCTACGGGTCAGTACATTTCAGTACCTGTGAGTCAGTACCTGTGAGTCAGTATCTTTGGGTCTCCCTCCCTGTGGGTTTCCCTAGTTCTCCCCAAGGTTTCTCACTTTTTCCCACTGGGTTTTTTAAGAGTTGTTCCTTGTCGATGCAGGAGGGTCTTGTTGGACAGTTAGTGTCCAACAGAAAGGATTGGTGATGATCAGGACACTTTAGCATTCTACAACATGTATGGACATTTTCTTCTGTGTGTGCTTTATATTCTTCATGTGTTTTAACTGTTGATTCTCTGACCTGTGTTGGTGATTTCAATGGTTTTGTTAAGTCTCTGAGATGATTTATTTATATATTTTTATTAATTATTAATTATTAATTCATGTATTAATTTATTCTTATTCCCTCCTCATCAACATAGCACCATAGAATGTATGTATATCTATATATATATGAACAGGGGTACAGTGGTGAGAGAGAGGTGTGCAAAATACACCATGACATAATCAGTGGTAATAGGTAAAGTATATAAGGTTAGCTTATGAGTGGGGTTGGGGTGTATTGTTTGAGGTGTGGTTGGGGGGTATGTCTTGAAGTGAAATATAATCTGACATTAAGTTTTCCCATGCGGAGGTGTGTATGTTTGTTTTGGATTTCCAGTTTATGAGTATTGTTTTTTTGGCGATAGTTAGCGACGTTAAAAGATACTTTGATTTACCCTGATTGATGGGGAGTGTGGATATGTCTCCTAGAAGACAGAGGGATGGGGACATTGGGATGTTGCAGCCAAGTGAAGTGGTGAGTGATTGAGTGACGGCTTTCCAGAATGCTTGGACCGGAGTGCAGTGCCAAAGAGCATGAATGTAATTGTCCCTACAACCCTGTGTGCAGTGTGGGCAGATGTCTGAAGTGGATCCCATTTTTGATAATTGGTAACCGGTGTAGTGATATCTGTGTAGGATTTTGAATTGTATGAGTTGGAGGTTGGAGTTGGTGGTCATTGAATACATATTTTTGCAGATTTGGGTCCAGAAGTTGGCACTGGGAGTAAACGCTAAATCTTGTTGCCACTTTGCAGTTGGAAGAGATTGTGTATTATCTGATTTGGTGATTATTTTGTATATTTTGGTGTTCAGTTTTTTGGGGGGAATATTTATGAAATCCGCAATTGTATCATGAAGGCCGAGATTTACTGCTTGGATGTTGATTTTTTTTTGGATTGCTGATTTTTGTTGTAAGTATTCGAGGAAGCATTTACTCCCAATGTCATACTCCTGGGCCAACTGTGTCAGTGGTTTTAAGATGTTATTTGTGAGAATGTGATTGAGGTGAGTTATACCTTTATCTGCCCATGAATGGAAGTACAGAGGTTTATTATTGCTTGTGAATTCTGGGTTGTGCCAAATTGGGGAGCGGATGGATGGGGCAAGGGGGGTGTTTGTTAAATCGTGGAGTTTCCACCAGGCTGTCAGAGCTGCCGATATTGTTGGTGTTTTGAAAAGTGAGTATTTCTTTATTGATTGATTAAGGAAGGGTAGGTCTGAGAGATTGATGTTATTGCAGAGTGATTGTTCAGTGTCCATCCAGATTGAGTCAGATGTGTTTGAGTGGATCCATTTGTGTATGGACTGTAAATGATTAGCTAATGAATAGTGGTAAAAAATTGGGGCATTGAGACCTCCCTGTAGTTTTGGTTTCTGTAGTGTTGCGAGTTTGATACGGGGTGGTTTGTTTTTCCAGTAGAATTTGTTAATGGCGACTTCCGGTGGGTGACCCGAATGGAGTGCACGTGTTGAGCGAGCTCCGGCAGAAACCATCGTTTTATCACCAGTAAGCCCTCTACCAACGCTTTTTAATTGTCAACTTGCAATCGAGAACCCGTCTATGATTCAATTTACACAATGCCGCCTCCTAAAGTCGCCAAAACTGCAGAAAAGGAAGATGCTAGGGCTAATGCTAGCAGCATAACAATGGAAGCTATCTCAGCCCTGCTAGAGAAGCATCGTGAAACACTCTCCGCTGAATTTAAGGCTTCGCTTACTGGGATGGAAACTAAACTGGATCAACACAAACTTGTTATGGATGACCACGACCAGCGCATATCCTCTTTGGAGCTATCATCTGATGACATGAGCCAGAGAGTGAGCGATCTTGAGAACGCCTGCTGCGCTCTCCGCGAGGACAACTCCAAGCTTAAGGCGAAGGTTTTGGACCTGGAGAACCGAAGCAGACGTCAAAATATACGAATTCTCGGGCTGACGGAATCTACTGAAGGAGCTCGTCCTACAGACTTTTTCCCACTGTGGCTTCAAGAAGTGTTTGGGAAAGATATTCTCCCTTCCCCACCGGAGATTGACAGGGCGCACCGCACGCTAAACGCTAAACCAGGCCCGGGAGAGCGACCGCGGCCGCTCATTATGCGACTGCATCGATTCCAAACGAAGGAACTTATCATCAGAGAAGCACGCCGTAAAGGGATGTTTGACTACCGTGGCCAAAGGATTCGGATCGTTGAAGACTACAGTGCTGAAGTTGTGTCTCAGCGAGCGCAATACAGAGACGTAATGGCGGAACTTTACAAGCAGGGAATGAAGCCAGCTCTGCTCTTCCCAGCCCGACTCCGCATCACTCTGCCGAGCGGAAACAAGAAGTGGATGAGCAGTGTGGAAGAGGCGCAACAGTACATTGACGACCAGACCCATCGGAGAATGAGACAAACATAAAACGTACCTATTTGTAGATTAACCCTGGGCTTCACACTGGGTGAGATTGTACTATACAGCCACGGGACATTCAACTATTTGGTATGTACCACTGTGCTAATTTGACATTCCCTAGCTGGCTATTTTCTTTCTGTGTTATATTATGTTTTTCGGAATTTCTGTTAAGATTATTGGTGCATGTGTGCTTTTGACATTTATATATTTCTGTAACTAAATTGCTTGCGTTGGGAAAGGCTTTTTTATTTATTACACATTTGATTGCCGGAGTTATGCGTTGTTGATGGTTAGCATCATTCGGGAGTCTGGATACCTGGAAGGTGTTGTATTTTTGGAGCTTGCTGCCTTTTTTTTGGGTGTTTTTGTTTTGTATTTTTGAATTTTTAAATTGCAGCTTTCCATGTGGGGGGAGGGGGGCGGTTACTTGTCATCGCTTACGTGGGTGCAAACTCTTACATACTTATAGAAATACACTGGTTAACAGGTTGTCATGCTATCTTCTAAACATGCTGTACAATGGACTTGCTTAATATAGTGAGCTGGAATGTAAGGGGCCTGAACCACCCGGTCAAACGAAAGAAGATTTTCTCACATATAAAACAGCTTAAAGCCAAAGTACTTTTCTTACAAGAAACTCATATTCGCACATCAGACCTAAATAGATTACTACGCTGGAATGGCCAATGTTTCCATTCCACATTTCGATCCAAAGCACGCGGGGTTTCAATTCTTATTTCCCACGATATTCCCTTTGAAATGCATGATGTGATATCGGATACTAATGGTCGATACATAATCATCTCGGGAAAACTGAACAATACATTGGTTGTTCTAGTAAATGTGTACGCACCAAATATAGATGATGCAGGGTTTTTTAAACGCCTGTTCTCATTATTGCCAGATTTAAATGTATACCATCTCATTCTTGGAGGTGACCTCAATTGCTGTCTTAACCCTCTTCTGGACAGGTCTTCAACCAACCCCAGCACGGCGAACAAATCTGCCAGTCTCATTAATGGATTCCTTACTGATTTTGGGCTCTGTGATATCTGGCAATTCCTACATCCAAATTACAAGGAATTCTCATTTTTCTCTCAAGTACATCTTTCATACTCTAGAATTGACTATTTTCTTTTAGATAATAAACTACTCTCTTTAGTTAATACTTGTGAATATCAACCAATTGTTATATCAGACCACGCCCCTTTAGCATTGTCTGTGTCGCTCCCTGGCTCTTTTTCTGGGATCAAGAGATGGCGCTTCAATTCAACCTTACTTTCAGATGCAAAGTTTGTTGAGTATATTGAGAAAGAGATTGCCTTTTTCATAGACACAAATACTGATCCGAATATTTCCACCCTCATATTATGGGATGCACTGAAGGCCTACCTTCGGGGGCAGATCATAGCTTATACAGTTCGGATGAAACGCAAATCAAACCAAGAACGAAATGACCTTGTGCGGCAAATCGGTATAATAGACAAACAATACTCTCAAAATAAAGACCCTGACTTATACAAAAAACGAACTGAACTGAGGACCAGATTTGATTTGCTTACCACGTATCGGGTTGAGCAGTTGCTCTTAAAAAACAAACCAGGTTTTATACATACGGGGATAAGTCCGATAAATTGCTGGCCAATCAGCTCAGGGGATCCAGATCCAAACAGGCCATTACCAAAATACAACTTGACACTGGCCAAATAACTACTGATCCATTGGAAATTAATACAGCTTTTAAAGATTTCTACGGACAACTGTACACTTCTAAATTTTGTTCCGAACCTAATCCAATTAATACGTTTTTAAATGGTCTCAATATCCCCTCACTATCTAATGAAATTGCAAAGATGCTGGAGGAACCAATTTCTGAACCTGAAATAGTTAAAGCAATCCGTGCAATGCAGTCAAACAAGTGTCGGGTCCAGATGGATTCCCTTCAGAATTTTTTTAAACATTTTCAAAATTACTTTCACCATTACTCTGTTTGGTTCTCTCTGAGTCTTGTAAGCTCGGTCATCTTCCTCAATCCTTTTTGGAAGCATGTATCACACTTTTAGCCAAAAAGGGGAAGGATGCAACGAGATGTTCTTCATACAGACCCATATCTCTTCTCAACACAGATGCCAAGGTCCTGGCAAAAGTATTGGCTCACAGGCTGGAGAATCTCCTTCCTACCATCATTTCTAATGACCAGACCGGTTTTATCAAAAACAGGCAATCATATTTCAACATTAGACGTCTTTTTGACATCATCTACACTGCCCAGGAAAACCCGCCCAAATGTGTCGTCTCTATTGATGCAGAGAAGGCCTTCAATCGGGTTGAGTGGCCTTACCTTTTCGCCATGCCGGGAAAATTTGGATTTGGACCCTCGTTCATCTCATGGATCAGATTGCTCTACACTTATCCCACTGCTATGATCCGTACAAATTCACAACTCTCTAGTCCCTTTAGATTATACCGTGGTACACGTCAAGGGTGCCCATTGAGCCCCATGCTTTTTGATTTGGCTATAGAACCACTCGCCATAGCACTCCGTACATCCAACGATATCACTGGAATTTTTAGGGGGGGTGTGGAACATAGAGTTTCCCTTTACGCAGACGACCTCTTGCTCTATGTTTCAAACCCAAGCGAGACTGTCCCTTCTGTTCTTGGCTTACTTAATCACTTTGGCACCTTCTCAGGCTACAAATTGAACATTGACAAAAGTGAACTGTTTCCTATTAATGACAGTGCACAGGTTCTAGATTATTCTAATTTCAATTTCAAAGTTGAATGTGAAAAGTTTTCTTACCTTGGGGTGACTGTTACCAAAAAGTACAAAGACTTATTCAAAGAAAATGTTTCCATCCAATTGAATCAAACCAAACAACTTATGTCACAATGGTCTCCCTTATCAATGTCGTTGGTGGGTCGTGTCAATTCTATCAAAATGATAATTTTACCAAAATGTCTTTACCTTTTTCAATCCTTGCCCATTTTTATCCCTCAGGCTTTTTTTCAGCAGTTGGACTCACTCATTACCTCATATGTTTGGCAGGGCAAGCGACCACGCTTGAGCAAGATTCATCTTAAAATCTAAATTTAGTGGGGGTCTTGCATTGCCAAATTTTCAGTTTTATTATTGGGCGGCCCATCTGAGGTGTCTGGTGCACTGGTCGTATTATTACAGCCAACCGGAATGTTCCAACTGGGTTGCTCTGGAGCTTTGTGCACAGAAACTTTCTCCTTTGTCCTCAGTGGGCTCAGCCTTACCTCTGCCCCCTACTACTCTATTTGACAACCCAGTGGTCAAACACACACTGAAGATCTGGGGCCAATTCAGAAGACATTTTGGACTCAAAGGTTTCTCATTGTGGAGCCCTATTCTTAACAATATTCTTTTCAAACCATCAATTATGGACATTGGTTTTCAGGTATGGCATAGACATGGGGCCAAACGCTTTAAAGATTTGTTCATGGATGGCACTATGGCGTCATTTGTGCAGCTGAAAGATAAATTTAATCTCTCTCATTCAGATTTTTTTCGATATCTTCAGTTGCGACACTTTCTTGAACAGCACTTGTCAAACACTCCTGAAGCTGCACAAACTCTAACTGTAAACACAATTTTAGCACTGAAACCATCAAAAGGCCTCATTTCTAAATTGTATAATATGATGCTCAATCACAAGATCCCACTGACAGACATTATTAGAGGAGCTTGGGAGGTTGATTTGGGTCTTACCATAACTGACTATGCCTGGCGGTCTGCCCTCAAACTAGTGCACTCATCCTCACTTTGTGCTCGACATCACTTGATTCAATTTAAAGTAGTTCATAGAGCACACCTTTCAAAGGCAGGGCTGTCCATTATGTATCCAGATGTGAGCCCTCTATGCACCAGGTGTAATCTGAGTGAGGCCTCTTTGGGCCACATGTTTTGGTCTTGCTCACAATTGCACAACTTTTGGAGATACATTTTCAACACTCTGTCGCAAGTATTCTGTGTAAGACTAGAACCAAATCCAGTATCAGCACTTTTTGGGGTATTTGAGCACCATGTACATCTCACTGTTGTTAAAAGAAATTCTCTAGCTTTCACTCTACTTCTGGCGCGTCGAGCCATACTACTCAAATGGAAAGATGCTACTCCCCCTTCCCATTCACAGTGGCTACAGGATGTTTTGTCCTGTCTAAAACTTGAAAAACTAAGATTCTCACTCAATCAAGCCTCTAATGCCTTTGACGATATATGGGGGAATTTTCTACGGCATTATCCGGCCCTCTAACAGTATACTGCAGCGTTAATTGTTAAACCTGGTGTAAATAGTTTGTAGCGATGACAGGGTGGGTGGGATTCTTTTGGGTGTTCTTTTTCTTTAAATTTTATTTGTAACCATTTTATTTTACATATTCTCATGTTATAACTATCCTGAAGTGAAACACTCACATTATGACAATCTGCCAACTGTTAGTCTTATTGAAATGTTGTGAGCTTGTTTTTGACATATATGTATAATTATACTTTGAAAACAATAAAAAACATTTGATTTAAAAAAAAGAATTTGTTAATGGCAGAGTTGAGTGATTTAAACCAGGTTTGAGTGGGTTGAACAGGGGTCATTGAGAGTATGTAGTATGTAGTTGGGAGTATTGACATTTTAACCAAAGAGATTCTGCCTGTGATTGAAATGGGGAGATTCATCCAGCGTTGTAAATCTTCTTCTAATTGTTTGAGTAAGGGGGGGAAGTTGAGAGAGAACAGCTCTGAGAGCCTGGAGGAAACCTTTATTCCCAGGTAAGTGATGTGGTTTGAAGAGAGTGGGACAGGAGGTGTGATGGCTGCAACATCCCAACTGTTTGACTGTGAGGGGAGAATTGAGGATTTACTCCAGTTGATTGAATATTGTGAGAGTTTGGAAAATGATTCGATGAGGTTTATTGTGTGGTGTAATGATGAAGGTGGGTTTTGTAAAAAGAGGAGGATATCATCTGCATACAGGCTGATTTTGTGTTCGATTGATTGTGGTTGGAATCCTTTGATTTGGTTATTTTGGCGAATTGCTGCTGCAAGTGGTTCTAAGAAGATTAGAAATAAAGATGGAGAGAGTGGGCATCCTTGGCGGTTTCCGCGGTGAAGAATGAAGGGACGTGAAGTTCTACCGTTGGTGATGACAGTGGCAGTAGGTGAGGTGTAAAGCATTTTTATCCAGTTGACAAACGACCCCCCGAAGCCAAATCTCTCCAGTGTGGCAAACAGGAAGGTCCAGTCGACCCTGTCGAAAGCCTTTTCTGCGTCCAAGGATGCAATGATGGTTTTTTCCTGTTGTAGAGTTGACCAGTGAATTAAATTGAACAGCCTACGAGTATTGTCTGATGAGTGTCGTCCTTTAATGAAGCCAGTTTGGTCGGGATGAATGATCGTTGGGATTACTTTTTCTAGTTGGAGGGCAAGGGATTTTGCTATGATTTTTGTATCGACATTGATAAGAGAGATGGGCCTGTAACTGGAGGGCAGTGTAGGGTCTTTGTTGGGTTTGAGGATGAGGTAGATTGTGGCAGAGTTCATGTGGGTTGGCAGCTTACTGATCTGTTCTGATTCCTGTAGCATACGCATGAATAGCGGGGAGAGTGTGGCCCAAAAATGTTTGTAGAACTCAGCAGGGAAGCCGTCGGGTCCAGGGGATTTTTTGTTGGGCATAGCTTTAAGTGCTGTGCAGAGATCAAATTCTGTAATTGGTGAGTTTAAACCTGATATCTGGTTAGCTGTGAGAATGGGTAGGTTGATATTGTTTAGAAATGTGTGGATATTGTTTATATTTGGGTCAGAGTCAGAGGAATAGTTTTCTGTAGTAATTTTCGAAGGTTTCATTTATTCCTTTGTGTGAAGTTATATGCTCCCCTGCTGAGTTCTTAATGATGGGGATTGATGTTTTTTCTTTATTCAATTTGATCTGGTTGGCCAAGTATTTTCCTGATTTATTGTTGTGTTGAAAATGTTCTTGTCGGAGTCTGTGGATAAGAAATTGAGTTTGTTTATTTGTTATTTCATTTAATTTGAGTTGTGGGTCAGTACTGACAGACTTCTGTTGCAGGTCTGTGTGCGCTGCAGAACCCCCTGATGCCCTCCCTCAGAGCGGGGCACGTCCTGGAGCAGCCCTGGCCCACGGTCGACCCGGAGCACCTGGAGGAACCCGACTTTGTGGAGCTGACTGTGCTGGTACCAGAAACACTTTACTACCACATTTTCTCTGTGAACTTCTGGTCTCTCTCTCTGGTCTCTCCCTTGGTGTCATGCTGGTCTCTCTGTGTCATGCTGGTCTCTCTCTCGGTGTCATGCTGGTCTCTCTCTCTGTGTCATGCTGGTCTCTCTCTCTGTGTCATTCTGGTCTCTCTCTCTGGTCTCTCTCTCGGTGTCATGCTGGTCTCTCTCTGTGTCATGCTGGTCTCTCTCTCGGTGTAATTCTGGTCTTTCTCTCTGGTCTCTCTCTTGGTGTCATGCTGGTCTCTCTCTCTGGTCGCTCTCTGTGTCATGCTGGTCTCTCTGGTCTCTCTGGTCTCTCTCGGTGTCATGCTGGTCTCTCTCTCTGGTCGCTCTCTCTGGTCTCTCTCTCTGTGTCATGCTGGTCTCTCTCTCGGTTTCATGCTGGTCTCTCTCTTTGGTCTCTCTCGGTGACATGCTGGTCTCTCTCTGTGTCATGCTGGTCTCTCTCTCGGTGTCATGCTGGTCTCTCGTCTGCAGGTGGATAACCATGGGTGTGGGCGGGTGATGGTGCCGCGTGCTGTGTCTAAAGACCTGGATGCAGTGAAGAGGCTAGTGGTGAACAGTGAAGTGGGACAGAAGCACCTGCACCAGAAGACCATCAAGAGAGCCATCCTATCCCCTCGCACTGCTCTCATCAACATCCTCACACACCAGTGACCAGGAGGAGCTAGGAGGAGCCAGGAGGGACCCGGAGGAGCCAGGAGTCCTTTCATGACTGTTTGAGGCAGAACCACAGACGTTGGCGGTGTTTCCGCCAGGAATTCATTGAGGGGGGGACCGCGAGGGAAGGGAAGGGAAGGGGGGGGGGGGGGGGGATGATGTTTTCACCATAGACCGACACATTTATCGCCGTGGTTACGCTCTAAAAACAACACACACAAGTCATACAGGTTCTTTAACAGGTGATCACAGGTAATAACAGGTGATCACAGATAATAACAGGATATCACAGGTAATAACAGGATATCACAGGTAATAACAGGTGATCACAGGTAATAACAGGTGATCACAGGTAATAACAGGTGATCACAGGTAATAACAGGTGATCACAGGTAATAACAGGTGATCACAGGTAATAACAGGATGTCACAGGTAATAACAGGATATCACAGGTAATAACAGGATATCACAGGTAATAACAGGTGATCACAGGTAATAACAGGTGATCACAGGTAATAACAGGTGATCACAGGTAATAACAGGTGATCACAGGGACTTCCTCATATTTCACTGTTAACACATAAAGAACCAAGGACCCATTTGTAAAATATAAATGTTTTCAATCAATAAATGTGATTTTAGAAATGACTCATTTCATTTTTATGATTGATCTAAACAGTTATAGCAGACCAGAGAGAGAGACCAGAGAGAGAGACCATAGAGAGACCATAGAGAGAGACCAGAGAGAGAGACCATAGAGGGAGACCAGAGAAAGAAAACAGAGGGACCAGAGAGAGAAACCAGAGACCAGATAGAAAGACCATAGAGAGACCATATAGAGAGAAACCAGAGAGAGAAAACAGAGAGAGACAAGAGAGAGAGACCAGAGAGAGGAACCAGAGAGAGAAACCAGAGAGAGAGACCAGAGAGAGGGACCAGAGAGAAAAACCAGAGGGAGAGACCAGAGAGAGAGAAACCAGAGAGAGACCAGAGAGAGAGACCAGAGAGAGAGAGACCAGAGAGAGAAACCAGAGAGAGGAACAGGAGAGAGAAACCAGAGAGAGAAACCATAGAGAGAAACCAAAGAGAGAAACCAGAGAGAGGAACCAGAGAGAGAAACCAGAGAGACCAGAGAGAGAGACCAGTGAGAGGGACCGGAGAGAGGGACCAGAGAGAGAAACCAGAGAGACCAGAGAGAGGGACCAGAGAGAGAGACCAGAGAGAGAAACCAGAGAGAGGAACCAGAGAGAGAAACCAAAGAGAGAAACCAGAGAGAGGAACCAGAGAGAGAGAAACCAGAGAGAGAAACCAGAGAGAGACCAGAGAGAGAGACCAGAGAGAGGGACCAGAGAGAGGACCAGAGAGAGAAACCAGAGAGAGAGACCAGAGAGAGAGACCAGAGAGAGAGACCAGAGAGAGAACCAGAGACAGAAACAGAAACCAGAGAGAGAAACCAGAGAGAGAAACCAGAGAGAGAGAGACCAAGGAGAGAGAGACCGAGAGAGAGAGACAGAGAGAGAGACCAGAGAGAGAAACCAGAGAAACCAGAGAGAGAAACCAGAGAGAGAAACCAGAGAGAGAGACCAGAGAGAGGGACCAGAGAGAGAGACCAGAGAGAGAAACCAGAGAGAGAAACCCGAGAGAGAAACCAGAGAGAGAGACCAGAGAGAGAGAGACCAGAGAGAGAGACCAGAGAGAGGGACCAGAGAGAGAGACCAGAGAGAGAGACCAGAGAGAGGGACCAGAGAGAGAAACCAGAGAGAGAAACCAGAGAGAGAAACCAGAAAGAGACCAGAAAGAGACCAGAGAGAGAGAGACCAGAGAGAGACCAGAGAGAGACCAGAGAGAGAAACCAGAAAGAGACCAGAAAGAGACCAGAGAGAGAGAGACCAGAGAGAGACCAGAGAGAGAGACCAGAGAGAGGGACCAGAGAGAGAGACCAGAGAAAGAAACCAGAGAGAGAGAGACCAGAGAGAGACCAGAGAGAGAGACCAGAGAGAGAGACCAGAGAGAGACCAGAGAGAGAGACCAGAGAGAGAAACCAGAGAGAGAGACCAGAGAGAGACAACAGAGAGAGAGACCCGAGAGAGAGAAAGCAGAGAGAGAGACCAGAGAGAGGAACCAGAGAGAGAGACCAGAGAGAGAGACCAGAGAGAGAGAGACCAGAGAGAGACCAGAGAGAGAGACCAGAGAGAGAGACCAGAGAGAGACCAGAGAGAGAGACCAGAGAGAGACAACAGAGAGAGAGACCCGAGAGAGAGAAACCAGAGAGAGAGACCAGAGAGAGGAACCAGAGAGAGAGACCAGAGAGAGAGACCAGAGAGAGAGAAACCAGAGAGAGACCAGAGAGAGCGACCAGAGAGAGAGACCAGAGAGAAACCAGAGAAAGAGACCAGAGAGAGAAACCAAAGAGAGAAACCAGAGAGAGAAACCAGAGAGAGGAACCAGAGAGAGAAACCAGAGAGAGAAACCAAAGAGAGAAACCAGAGAGAGAAACCAGAGAGAGGAACCAGAGAGAGAAACCAGAGAGACCAGAGAGAGAAACCAGAGAGACCAGAGAGAGGGATCAGAGAGAGAAACCAGAGAGAGAAACCAGAAAGAGACCAGAAAGAGACCAGAGAGAGAGACCAGAGAGAGAGAAACCAGAGAGAGAGACCAGAGAGAGGAACCAGAGAGAGACCAGAGAGAGGAACCAAAGAGAGAGACCAGAGAGACCAGAGAGAGAGACCAGAGAGAGAAACCAGAGAGAGAGACCAGAGAGAGAAACCAGAGAGAGACCAGAGAGAGAGACCAGAGAGACAGACCAGAGAGACAGACCAGAGAGAGACCAGAGAGAGAGACCAGAGAGAGAAACCAGAGAGAGATACCAGAGAGAGAAACCAGAGAGAGACCAGAGAGAGAGACCAGAGAGAGAGACCAGAGAGACAGACCAGAGAGAGACCAGAGAGAGAAACCAGAGAGAGACCAGAGAGAGAGACCAGAGAGAGAAACCAGAGAGAGAAACCAGAGAGAGAGACCAGAGAGAGAAACCAGAGAGACCAGAGAGAGAAACCAGAGAGAGGAACCAGACAGAGAGACCAGAGAGAGGAACCAGAGAGAGAGAGACCAGAGAGAGAGACCAGAGAGAGAAACCAGAGAGAGACCAGAAAGAGAGACCAGAGAGAGGAACCAGAGAGAGAGACCAGAGAGAGAGACCAGAGAGACAAACCAGAGAGAGACCAGAAAGAGAGACCAGAGAGAGAGACCAGAGAGGAACCAGAGAGAGAGACCAGAGAGAGAAACCAGAGAGAGGAACCAGAGAGAGAAACCAGAGAGAGAAACCATAGAGAGAAACCAAAGAGAGAAACCAGAGAGAGGAACCAGAGAGAGAAACCAGAGAGACCAGAGAGAGAAACCAGAGAGACCAGAGAGAGAGACCAGAGAGAGGGACCAGAGAGAGGGACCAGAGAGAGAAACCAGAGAGAGAGACCAGAGAGAGGGACCAGAGAGAGAGACCAGAGAGAGAAACCAGAAAGACCAGAGAGAGAAACCAGAGAGAGAAACCAGAGAGAGAGACCAGAGAGAGAGAGACCAGAGAGAGAGAGACCAGAGAGAGGGACCAGAGAGAGAGACCAGAGAGAGAGACCAGAGAGAGAGACCAGAGAGAGGGACCAGAGAGTGAAACCAGAGAGAGAAACCAGAGAGAGAAACCAGAAAGAGACCAGAGAGAGAGACCAGAGAGAGGGACCAGAGAGAGAGAGACCAGAGAGAGACCAGAGAGAGAAACCAGAAAGAGACCAGAGAGAGAGAGACCAGAGAGAGACCAGAGAGAGGGACCAGAGAGTGAAACCAGAGAGAGAAACCAGAGAGAGAAACCAGAAAGAGACCAGAGAGAGAGACCAGAGAGAGAGACCAGAGAGAGGGACCAGAGAGAGAGAGACCAGAGAGAGACCAGAGAGAGAAACCAGAAAGAGACCAGAGAGAGAGAGACCAGAGAGAGACCAGAGAGAGAGACCAGAGAGAGGGACCAGAGAGAGAGACCAGAGAGAGAAACCAGAGAGAGAGAGACCAGAGAGAGACCAGAGAGAGAGACCAGAGAGAGAGACCAGAGAGAGACCAGAGAGAGAGACCAGAGAGAGAAACCAGAGAGAGAGAGACCAGAGAAAGACAACAGAGAGAGAGACCCGAGAAAGAGAAACCAGAGAGAGAGACCAGAGAGAGGAACCAGAGAGAGAGACCAGAGAGAGAGACCAGAGAGAGAAACCAGAGAGACCAGAGAGAGAAACCAGAGAGAGAAACCAGAGAGAGAGACCAGAGAGAGAGAGACCAGAGAGAGAGAGACCAGAGAGAGGGACCAGAGAGAGAGACCAGAGAGAGAGACCAGAGAGAGAGACCAGAGAGAGGGACCAGAGAGTAAAACCAGAGAGAGAAACCAGAGAGAGAAACCAGAAAGAGACCAGAGAGAGAGACCAGAGAGAGAGACCAGAGAGAGGGACCAGAGAGAGAGAGACCAGAGAGAGACCAGAGAGAGAAACCAGAAAGAGACCAGAGAGAGAGAGACCAGAGAGAGACCAGAGAGAGAGACCAGAGAGCAAGCAAGCTTTATTTATTTATATATACCGCCTTTCACAGACCAGAGTCACAAAGCGGTTTACAATTGTTATTTTTTGGGCACTTGTCCTCTCACTCCACACAGAGATGGGAGCGGGGTCACCGAACAGGAGGCGCATGCCAGACCTATTGTACATATTTTTAGTGGTAGGGGAAACCGGAGTACCCGGGGGAAACCTACGCAGACAGAGAGAGGGACCAGAGAGAGAGACCAGAGAGAGAAACCAGAGAGAGAGAGACCAAGAGAGACCAGAGAGAGAGACCAGAGAAGAGACCAGAGGAGACCAGAGAGAGAGAGAGAGACCAGAGAGAGAGAGACCAGAGAGAGACCAGAGAGAGAGACCGAGAAGAGAAGAGAAGAGACCAGAGAGAGAGACCAGAGAGAGAGAGACCAGAGAGAGAGAGACCAGAGAGAGAGAGAGAGAGAGACCAGAGAGAGAGACCAGAGAGAGAGAGACCAGAGAGAGAGACCAGAGAGAGAGACCAGAGAGAGAGACCAGAGAGAGAGAGACCAGAGAGAGAGACCAGAGAGAGAGAGAGAAGACCAGAGAGAGAGACCAGAGAGAGAGACCAGAGAGAGAGACCAGAGAGAGAAACCAGAGAGAGAAACCAGAGAGAAACCAGAGAGAGAAACCAGAGAGAGAAACCAGAGAGAGAGAACCAGAGAGAGAGAACCAGAGAGACCGACCAGAGAGACCTGTCCTCCCCCTCCTCCTGCCTCCCTCCTCCTCCCCCTACCTACCCCTGCGCTCTGCGAAGACTCTTGTGAATGACTTCTCCTCCTGCGTGGGACAGAGAGGGAGGGGAGAGAGGGAGGGGGGATAAACGGTTATAAGCGGCTCTAGTTTTACACTGAACTGAGCAACTCACTGTTAGAACAGACACGGACTTTGGACTCGAACATCGCGCCTTGAGGACTCCTCCGTCTGGAGCGTGAGGACACAGCTTGCATGACACAGCTACAGGACACAAGCTGCAGACACAGCAGCAGTATGGATAAGTACTCGGAGCTGGGGCTGGAGGCCATCCAAGTTCATGGAGGACCTGAACATGTTCGAGGCCTCTCGGGACGGACTCTTCCCGACGCGAGAGGACGCAGGAAAACAACCCGGACTTTGAGGAGACTAGAAAAGTTTTTGCCTCCAAAATGACAAGGATCCACCCTCCTGCAGCAGGAGGACAGAGGAGCAAAGCCACCTCCTGAAGCGAGGAGGACAGCAGGAGCAGCTGGGGACTGTAACTCCCACAGACCTCCCATCAGCTCCGTTAGAAGCCGGCGGGGGAGGCGCGCCGCGAAGCCTCCTCTGCTGTCACAGCCCCTGGGCACCTCCAGGAGCCACTCCGACACAGCTTAACGGGAGCACTGGGGGGCCCTTACGGATAGTCGGGAGGCCCCTACAGGGTGGCAGGGGGCCCCTTACAGGGAGGCGGGGGGCCCCTACAGGAAGGCAGCAGGCCCCACAGATGCTCTCCTCCCTCGTGTACAAACACAGGACCCAGGGACCTCATGGAGTCAGAGCGGAGCCCCCCTCCCGTCCTCCCGGCCCCGGGGACCTCACCCTCCATCCCTCCCCGCAGTACAAACACTCCCCCGCGGGCCCTGGGACCCTCAGGTGTGTGGCCCTCGGTGGGAGACTCCTCTGATCGGGCGGCTGCTCCTGCCGTGAAAAGCAAAGTGTGACATCACATCACGCTGCCTTAAGAAGCTTCACAGCCGCACGCGTGCACCAGCCCCGGTCAGAGCAGGGGCCTCAACGGGGACCCGCACAGGGGGCCTCCACAGGACCGAGCCCATCCACAGGGGCCCTATGCCACAGGTCATCACACAGGGTCCGAAGGGTCAATCGGAGGATCCCCTCACTGTGGATTCTGAAGGCTGGAGAGCGCCTGGACACTGACTCCAAGGCTACTTTTGGTAAGAGCCAAAACAACACCAGGACGCTCCTGGGTCTCTCTGGTCTCTTCTCCGTCTCTTCTGTCTCCCTCAGTTCTCTCTCTTCCTGGTCTCTCTCCGGTCGACATCTGTCTCCCTCTGGGTCTCTCTCTCTTGGTCTCTCTCTCTCTCTGTCTTCTCCCGCTGTTCTCTGACCTCTCCCTTCTCGCCAGCTCTCTCCTCCTGATGTCGTCCACGCCCCATTCTCTGGCGTCTTCGTCGCTCCATCGCTCACTCTCCGCTCATGGGTCTCCTCACAGGATGACTTGTGGATTTCCTCTGAGTTCAGAAATAGACCGTGTGTGTTTGTGGCTTGAGGGCCCACCTCTCCGGTGGACGTCAGAAGGGCTTAAGTGGGAGAGAGAGCGAGAGGGAGACCAGAGCAGAGACCAGAGGAGAGACCAGGAGGGAGACCAGAGGGAGACACGAAGGGAGATCCAGAGGGAGACCAGAGGGAGACAAGAGAGAGACCCAGAGGGAGACCAGAGGAGACCAGAGGAGAAACCCGAGAGGCCAGAGGATCAGAGAGAGGGACCATACCAGAGAAGGTCATTTAAAGCTAGTGTTTGTGTACACCACATGTCCACAGACCCCCAGCTTTAAAGTCACAGACCCCAGCTTTAAAGTCACAGACCCCAGCTTTAAAGTCACAGACCCAGCTTTAAAGTCACAGACCCAGCTTTAAAGTCACAGACCCCAGCTTTAAAGTCACAGACCCAGCTTTAAAGTCACAGACCCAGCTTTAAAGTCACAGACCCCAGCTTTAAAGTTACACAGACCCAGCTTTAAAGTCACAGACCCCAGCTTTAAAGTCACAGACCCCAGCTTTAAAGTCACAGACCCAGCTTTAAAGTCACAGACCCCAGCTTTAAAGTCACAGACCCCAGCTTTAAAGTCACAGACCCAGCTTTAAAGTCACAGACCCAGCTTTAAAGTCACAGACCCCAGCTTTAAAGTCACAGACCCCAGCTTTAAAGTCACAGACCCCAGCTTTAAAGTCACAGACCCCAGCTTTAAAGTCACAGACCCCAGCTTTAAAGTCACAGACCCCAGCTTTCACAGACCACTTTAAAGTTACAGACCACCCCAGCTTTAAAGTCACTGAAGCTTTAAAAGTCACCAGGTACGTCTGTGTTGCTAATAGAGTCCCAGTCAAAAACGTTGTATGTTGCGGTCTGTGGTGTGGGGTCACCTTGTGTGTTGTGTGTGTTGCAGGTGGGTGTGTGATCTAACCTTGTTGTTGTGTTGTGTTGCACGTTTGTGTGTGAGGGTGTGGAGTCTAACCCCAGCTTTAAAGTCACCAGACCCCAGCTTTAAATCTTGCTTCACTTTGCAGCGCATGCATGAGTACCTGCCTCCAGGGCAGCTGTGCTACAGGCTAACCTCTGGTTGTGTGTGTGTGTTGTTGTGATAGGGAAAACCGGAGCACTCTGGAGGTAACTGGAGCTGAAGAGGGAGAACTGTTGCTCTAGAAAGGCCACTGTAACCCAGAGCTCAAACCACTCATGTGCCAGTCTTGCTCCTGAGTCTGTCGTAGGGTGGGTCACATGTTAGTGTTGCTTGCCACAAGCTGTCTTATGTTAAGGACCATAGTGATTCATCACCACGATGTCATAACCATTGTTCATTGCAACATGTGAGCCCTCTCTAGAGCGCTCCACGCTAATATTGTCCCTAAAATCTACAGACAACTGCGGCTAAGTAAGTAAGTTAGCTCCGACCCACACTAACTGCAGCAAACACATGAAGCCCCCGTGCACCCTTCTGTCCTACATAAGTGTGCTTCTGTAACATTCTGCACCTCATCGCAGCACGGTGAGGCATCACTGGGTCACGTCACAGCTTTCCTGTGGCGTTCAACATGAAGTTCTGTTTCGCCAAGCAGATATAGTCTTTAGTGGTGGCAGAGAGGCGCAATGTGAGAAACAGAGAGACTTCACAGGTGAGGGCTCGCCTCCTCGCATCCGTACCACACCCTACCTGTTCTGATGTCCTCGCCCACGGCCTTCCCCCCTGCGAGGCACTACCTTTCTCCACCCGAGCCCCTCCTTCTCTAGCCCGGCTCATCAAGAATTGGATATTTAATGCTCTAAACGGATTTATGTTGCTGTATCTTAGCCACCTTTAGTACTGCTCTAATCTGATGTGCAAAGACTCACCAGATCAGGAATATACTCTAGTCTCTGCTACTGTCAACCCCCTGACCATCTCTCCTCTCTCTCGGTCTCGTCTCCACTCCGGCCTCTCTCTGGGTCCCTCTCTGGGTCTCTCTCCTGCTCATCTCACTCTCGTCTCTGGTCTCATCAAATGGTCCTCTCTCATAGTCTCGCTCTGGTCTCTCTCTGGTCTCACCCTGGCCTCCCCTCTGGTTCTCTCTCTCTCGTCTCTCCCTGGGTCTCTCTCTCACTCGTCTCTTGTCATCTCTCTGGTCCCTCTCTTGGTCTCACCTCTCTGGTCGCCTCTCTACTGGGCTCTCCTCTTGGTCTCTCTCTCTGGATCGCCCTCTGGTCTGCTCTGCTCTCACTCTCATCCCCTCTCTCTGGGCTCTTTCTTTGGGTCCTCTCTCTGGTCTCTCACCCATTCTGAGTCCTCTCTCTGAGTCTTCATCTCTCTGGGCTCTCTCTCTGGTCTCATCTCTGCTGGCTCCCTCTGGTCCTCTTCTCTGGTCTCTATCCTGGTCTCTCTCTCTGGTCTCTCTCTGGTCTCTCTCTGGTCTCTCTCTGGTCTCTCTCTGGTCTCTCTCTGGTCTCTCTCTGGTCTCTCTCTGGTCTCTCTCTGGTCTCTCTCTGGTCTCTCTCTGGTCTCTCTCTGGTCTCTCTCTGGTCTCTCTCTGGTCTCTCTCTGGTCTCTCTCTCTGGTCTCTCTCTCTGGTCTCTCTCTGGTCTCTCTCTGGTCTCTCTCTGGTCTCTCTCTGGTCTCTCTCTGGTCTCTCTCTCTGGTCTCTCTCTGGTCTCTCTCTGGTCTCTCTCTGGTCTCTCTCTGGTCTCTCTCTGGTCTCTCTCTCTGGTCTCTCTCTGGTCTCTCTCTGGTCTCTCTCTCTGGTCTCTCTCTGGTCTCTCTCTGGTCTCTCTCTCTGGTCTCTCTCTGGTCTCTCTCTGGTCTCTCTCTGGTCTCTCTCTGGTCTCTCTCTGGTCTCTCTCTGGTCTCTCTCTGGTCTCTCTCTGGTCTCTCTCTGGTCTCTCTCTCTGGTCTCTCTCTGGTCTCTCTCTGGTCTCTCTCTGGTCTCTCTCTGGTCTCTCTCTGGTCTCTCTCTCTGGTCTCTCTCTCTGGTCTCTCTCTCTGGTCTCTCTCTCTGGTCTCTCTCTGGTCTCTCTCTGGTCTCTCTCTGGTCTCTCTCTGGTCTCTCTCTCTGGTCTCTCTCTGGTCTCTCTCTGGTCTCTCTCTGGTCTCTCTCTGGTCTCTCTCTGGTCTCTCTCTGGTCTCTCTCTGGTCTCTCTCTGGTCTCTCTCTCTGGTCTCTCTCTGGTCTCTCTCTGGTCTCTCTCTGGTCTCTCTCTGGTCTCTCTCTCTGGTCTCTCTCTGGTCTCTCTCTGGTCTCTCTCTGGTCTCTCTCTCTGGTCTCTCTCTCTGGTCTCTCTCTGGTCTCTCTCTGGTCTCTCTCTGGTCTCTCTCTGGTCTCTCTCTGGTCTCTCTCTGGTCTCTCTCTGGTCTCTCTCTGGTCTCTCTCTGGTCTCTCTCTGGTCTCTCTCTGGTCTCTCTCTGGTCTCTCTCTGGTCTCTCTCTGGTCTCTCTCTCTGGTCTCTCTCTCTGGTCTCTCTCTGGTCTCTCTCTGGTCTCTCTCTGGTCTCTCTCTGGTCTCTCTCTGGTCTCTCTCTGGTCTCTCTCTCTGGTCTCTCTCTCTGGTCTCTCTCTGGTCTCTCTCTCTGGTCTCTCTCTGGTCTCTCTCTGGTCTCTCTCTGGTCTCTCTCTGGTCTCTCTCTGGTCTCTCTCTCTGGTCTCTCTCTGGTCTCTCTCTCTGGTCTCTCTCTGGTCTCTCTCTGGTCTCTCTCTGGTCTCTCTCTGGTCTCTCTCTGGTCTCTCTCTCTGGTCTCTCTCTGGTCTCTCTCTGGTCTCTCTCTGGTCTCTCTCTGGTCTCTCTCTGGTCTCTCTCTGGTCTCTCTCTGGTCTCTCTCTGGTCTCTCTCTGGTCTCTCTCTGGTCTCTCTCTGGTCTCTCTCTCTGGTCTCTCTCTCTGGTCTCTCTCTGGTCTCTCTCTGGTCTCTCTCTGGTCTCTCTCTCTGGTCTCTCTCTGGTCTCTCTCTGGTCTCTCTCTCTGGTCTCTCTCTGGTCTCTCTCTGGTCTCTCTCTGGTCTCTCTCTGGTCTCTCTCTGGTCTCTCTCTGGTCTCTCTCTGGTCTCTCTCTGGTCTCTCTCTCTGGTCTCTCTCTGGTCTCTCTCTCTGGTCTCTCTCTCTGGTCTCTCTCTGGTCTCTCTCTCTGGTCTCTCTCTGGTCTCTCTCTGGTCTCTCTCTGGTCTCTCTCTGGTCTCTCTCTGGTCTCTCTCTCTGGTCTCTCTCTGGTCTCTCTCTGGTCTCTCTCTGGTCTCTCTCTGGTCTCTCTCTGGTCTCTCTCTGGTCTCTCTCTGGTCTCTCTCTCTGGTCTCTCTCTGGTCTCTCTCTGGTCTCTCTCTGGTCTCTCTCTGGTCTCTCTCTCTGGTCTCTCTCTGGTCTCTCTCTCTGGTCTCTCTCTGGTCTCTCTCTCTGGTCTCTCTCTGGTCTCTCTCTGGTCTCTCTCTGGTCTCTCTCTCTGGTCTCTCTCTCCTGGGGCATCTCCTCTGGGTTCACTCTCCGCTGGTTCTTCTCTCTGGTCTTCTCTCTGGTCTCTCACTCTGGGCTCCCTCGCTGGTCTCGTCTCTCATCTGGTCTCTCTCTCTGGGTCTCTCGCTTTTCCTGGTCTCTCTCTGGTCCTCGTTTCTCTGGTCGCTCGTCTCTGGTCTCTCTCTGGCTACCCTCTGGTCTCTCTCTGGTCCACTCGCTGGGCTCCCTACTGGTCTCTCTCTGGGCTCACTCTGGTCTCTCTCAGGGCTCCCCCTGGTCTCGTCTCTGCGATCTCTCTCTGGTCTCTCTCTCTGGTCTCTCTCCTCTGGTACTGCTCTCTCCTGGTCTCTCCTCTGGGTCTCCTCTCTGGTCTCTCCTCTGGTCTCAACCCAGCTGGGTCTGCTCCTCTCCGGTCGACTCCGGATGTGAACCTCTAAGATTTGTGAGTGTATCTGTACATCACAGTATCATGATTTATCAGCTGTTAGACGCATGATTATACAGCACTCAAATGTGTCGCCATGTGTCCACGAAGGTAATGTTCCGCGTGTGTTTTGTGTCGTGTGTGGGTCTGTGTGTGTGTCTCTGTTGTTCTCTGTGTGTTGTCTGATGGGGATATAGGTGCAGGCTCAGAGGTAAAGCCTTCTATACGTTGGGGAAAGGTTTTTTGAGCGTCTGAGAAGAAGACTTTTTTGGTGAGTTTGTATCGGCTTTTTTCACATCGTCCTCTTTGAACTCTTGTACATTGCACTACATCATAATGTATGTGTGTCTTGTGTGCGTTTGTTGTAGTGTCTGTCATGGGTGTGTGTGTATGTGTTTGGGGTATTTTGTCTGTGTGTGATGTGTGTGGTGTTGTTTGTGTGTGGTTTTGTGTTTGTGTCGGTGGTGTGTGTCTGTGTGTGTGTGTGTGTACTGTGTGGGTGGGTCTGTGTGTGTGTTGCAGTACTCGGACTTACCAGACAGAATCTGCAGATAAGTTGCAGATGCTTTGTGGGGACATCACTCATGGACATTGGTGAGGTGATTCACCTCAGTGTGGACATCTAACCAAATGTGGCAGCACACCAGTGTGACATCACCCACAGTGTGACATTACCGAAAAAAATCAGTATGTGACATCACCATCAGTGGGACATTAACACCACAGTGTGACATCACCACAGTGTTACCAATGCATCACAGGTGTTGACGCACCGACATGTAATAAACAAGCTGGGATCATAGAGAAACCAGCACTAGTATTCAAGCCCAAAATGTGGAATGTCACATCCAAATGTAACTGAGAGAAGGAGTTTACATTTACGTGGAAGGTCGATAGACAAAGTTTTCACTTCCCACAAATTCCGGTTTACTTCCGTATACTGCTAAATAGTGACTTCCTGTTAACAGTTCTGATGCAGCTAAGGACTTCCTGTTTACGTTCTGATGCTGCTAAGGACTATCCTGTTTTAACGTTTCATTGGGGGCTGTGGTCCCGGCTTAAAGTGTCCAAAATGACGTGCCTGACATGCTGCAATACCAACCCGCCCTGGCCGATGGGGGTGGGGCCCGGAATAAGAATTTTAGCCATGCTAACATATAGCATAAGGTGACCCATTCCTCAAAAACGCTTTACAGGATGGACCAAAAGACTTGGCTCTTGGTAGAGCACATATTTTGATGGCCCATTAGTTAGAACGGCTGAGATAGTGGCGTGACGTCTGATCCTTCAATATTTACAGAGTCAGTGGGTGAGACGACACAGGTGTAATTCTACATCAGCAACGGCTGAGCCATGTGAGGTTGGTGTGTGTTAAAACCAGCTACAACAGCACCACCTGCTGGTCACATGCTAGAACAACCACATTACACAAATCTCCACTTTTTTTTCCGTCTTTATTTTCTTACAACGTGGTTATTTACTGATTGTTTCTGCTACAAACACACAACACAGCAATCAGTCCAAGTTACACACACACAAAGGTACACACACACACAGTCCAAGTTCTACACACACAAATGTACACTCACACAGACACACACAGTCCAAGGTACACAGAGACACACACAGTCCAAGTTACACACACACAAGTCGGGTAACAGCAACACACACACAGTCTCCAAGTTACACACACATCAAATACTGGGTACGACACACACACATCAAGTCCCACAATGAGCACTCACACAAATCTGGGTACACACGCACACACACAAAATCCAAGTTACAAAACACACACAAATCTGGTACACACCTCACAATCCAAGTTACACACACACAAATCTGGGTACATCCCCACCAATCCCAAGTTACGATACACACACAGACCAATAGTTTACACGCACACAAATCCTGGGTACCACACAAACAACCATAGGTACACACACCACACAAATCTGGTAGACACACCACACAGGCCAAGTTACACACACACAGTCCAAGTTACACACACACACAAATCTGGGTACACACACAAAATCCAAGTTACACACACACAAATCTGGGTACACACACACACACACATCCAAGTTACACACACACAATCTGGGTACACACACACAATCCAAGTACACACAAACACAAATCTGGGTACACACACACACAGTCCAAGTTACACACACACAAATCTGGGTACAACACAACAATCCAAGTTACACACACACAAATCTGGGTACACACACACACAGTCCAAGTTACACACACACACAGTCCAAGTTACACACACACAAATCTGGGTACACACGCGCACAATCCAAGTTACACACACACAAATCTGGGTACACACACAGTCCAAGTTACACACACACACACAAATCTGGGTACACACACACAAATCCAAGTTACACACACACAAATCTGGGTACACACACACACAATCCAAGTTACACACACACAATCTGGGTACACCCACACAATCCAAGTTACAACACGCAAATCTGGGTACACACACACAGTCCAAGTTACACACACACACAAATCTGGGTACACACACACAATCCAAGTTACACACACACACAGTCCAAGTTACACACACAAAGTCCAAGTTACACACACACACACACACAAATCTGGGTACACACACACACACAGTCCAAGTTACACGCACACACAAATCTGGGTACACACACACACAGTCCAAGTTACACACACACAAATCTGGGTACACACACAGAGTCACACAGTCAGCGTAGATCCCTTCCATCAGCTTCCATGGCGGCGTTGAGGCTGAGGTAGACCTCAGCGGATTTCATCAGTATCCTCGTTCTCCACTCTGACATTTTCCCACGCGTCCTCAAACTCTGCCAGTGCTCTCCTCTTTGGTGCGGGACCAGCAGCTGCCACTGCACCTGACCCTGCGTAAATCATAACACAATTAGGCTATTTATAAATGTACTGTAACTGTCAATTATAGGCTAATAAAACACAAATACCTGACTGTGTAGACTGCTCCTGCCGACGTGCATCCTCTCCCTCCTGAAGCGGTTTATCTGGATTTTACCTGTTCCTGGATGTCGCTCCTCTCAGCGAGAGTGAACATTCGTAGTTGGTTGAACTTAGGCCATAGGAAGATGGCAATTTTATGAACTGGCTGGATTTGGATTTTTTTTTCACTAAGCAGTCAAGGTGTCGTTGGCGAATGAAGCCTGGGAAGGAGTATCAGCCACGTCTGGTTGGCAGTGGCTTTTCAGCTTGTCGGCCCAGAGGACGACAAGGTGCAGTGTTGGGTATTTGTCCCCTTCTAGCTCCTTTTGCGCATCGCTAAATGCGGCACAGAAATTCCACAAGGAAGGCTTGAACATCTGGGGAGAAGCCACGGCTCTGAAGAAGCTCCTGCAGCTCTCCATGGACCGACTGGATTGACTCCAGTGTGAGGAAGACTGTGCTATACCTGTCTCTGCCATTTCTTTCACGGTTTTTGGCAGCTGACTGGTCAGACCAGACTGTTTAAGATAGCGGACTAAAGCCTTCGCCGCCAACAGGGTCTCTGCTACTTCTGGGACTACTTCAGCCAGCTCATCTGTGTTCAAGGCATGTCGGAGGACTGTGTTATACAGGTCATCTTGACAAGCCAGGTGCCTGTATGGACGGAGAGCGGCCACCACGTTTGCACCCTGGTCAGTTACCCAGACAACATTGTTCAAAACTGATGCATCAAAGCCGAGGACTGTGACTAACTGCTGTTGAAGCTCTATTCGGATATTATCTCCTGTTTTGGCATGGTTTGGGAAGCATGTTGTGGTGAGGAGCTTGCTCTTCAGTTCAAATGTTGGTGTTACATAGTGACATGTGATCGCCATGTAGCTCATCTTACAAAAAACATCCGTCCACATATCTGTTGTCATGCCAATATTTATCAGTGACATCACCCCCTTTATCTCCTCAACTGTCCCTCTCCTTTCACTCGCCATCATTTTGCACCTTCGGGAGATTGTAGTGGGGTCGGGGAGAACTTCCTTGGCTGAAATGCGGCCATATGTTGCACCGACATTTATTAATTCTTGTGCTAACTCTCTGAAACCGACTCCAGCAATCATTTGAAACGGCCGAATGTCCATGCAACATAAGTTCACAAATTTTTTTGTGACGTCTGACTTTACCCTTTCTGGTGGTGGTTTTGCGAAATAATCGCCCACACTCATTTGTCTGTGAGCGGACTGACCGCTGCTGCTGGATCCGCCACATGACCGTTCAAAATGTCTATGGAGATGTGATGAACCTGTTTTTTGCGGTCATATGACAGAACAGCTTTGCATTCGACACACTGAACAAACCCGGGTGGCTCATCTTGAATGGTTGTAATAAGATTAAACTTAGTCCAGAATGGAGCTTTTCCGTTGGTGTTGTCCACTCTCTTCAATTCACCATTTTAAATCTTTTTCTTTATGTCGTTCTCCATGTTGTTTGTGCGGGGGGAGTCGGGAATTCGCGCGGATGTGTAAGTGACAAGTGTAGGCCTAAAGAAGGGTGTTGCGTGTGCGCCTGTGTGACAGAGCAGCTGTGTGTTAACCTTCCATTTAGACACACAAAAAAGGTTCTTTAATTAGCAGTAAAAAAAAGATAAATTAATTCAATTTAAAAAAAATAAAGGTACGTGCCCGAGCCCGGCCCGTGTCCGAGGTAATTATACGGTCATCGGCCCGAAGCCCGGCCCGAAGCCCGGGCCTAGGGCTCAAGTGCAGGCCTCTAACAGGGAGGAACCAAGGGGAGACAGAGGAGGACACTTTAGGAGGACACTTCAGGAGGAGACACAGGGAGGAACCAAGGGGAGACAGAGGAGGACACTTTAAGAGGACACTTCAGGAGGAGACACAGGTAGGAACCAAGGGGAGACAGAGGAGGACACTTTAGGAGGAGACACAGGGAGGAACCAAGAGGAGGACACTTAAGGAGGAGACAGAGGAGGACACTTTAGGAGGAGACACAGGGAGGAACCAAGAGGAGACAGAGGACACTTTAGAAGGAGACAGAGGAGGACACTTTAGAAGGAGACAGAGGAGGACACTTTAGGAGGAGACACAGGGAGGAGACACAGGGAGGAACCAAGAGGAGGACACTTAAGGAGGAGACAGAGGAGGACACTTTAGGAGGAGACAGAGGAGGACACTTTAGGAGGAGACAGAGGAGGACACTTTAGGAGGAGACACAGGGAGGAAACAAGAGGACACTTAAGGAGGAGACATAGGAGGACACTTTGGGACGAGACAGAGGAGGACACTTTAGGAGGAGACACAGGGAGGAACCAAGAGGAGACAGAGGACACTTTAGGAGGAGACACAGGGAGGACACTTTAGGAGGAGACACAGGGAGGACACTTTAGGAGGAGGACACTTAAGGAGGAGACAGAGGAGGACACTTTAGGAGGAGACAGAGGAGGACACTTTAGGAGGAGACACAGGGAGGAAACAAGAGGACACTTAAGGAGGAGACAGAGGAGGACACTTTAGGAGGAGACAGAGGAGGACACTTTAGGAGGAGACACAGGGAGGAACCAAGAGGAGACAGAGGACACTTTAGGAGGAGACACAGGGAGGACACTTTAGAAGGAGACAGAGGAGGACACTTTAGGAGGAGACACAGGGAGGACACTTTAGGAGGAGACACAGGGAGGAACCAAGAGGAGGACACTTAAGGAGGAGACAGAGGAGGACACTTTAGGAGGAGACACAGGGAGGAACCAAGAGGAGACAGAGGAGGACATTTTAGGAGGAGACACAGGGAGGACACTTTAGGAGGAGACAGATGAGGACATTTTAGGAGGAGACAGATGAGGACATTTTAGGAGGAGACAGAGGAGGACATTTTAGGAGGAGACACAGGGAGGACACTTTAGGAGGAGACAGATGAGGACATTTTAGGAGGAGACAGATGAGGACATTTTAGGAGGAGACAGATGAGGACATTTTAGGAGGAGACACAGGGAGGAACCAGGAGGAGACAGAGGAGGACACTTTAGGAGGAGACACAGGGAGGACACTTTAGGAGGAGACACAGGGAGGACACTTTAGGAGGAGACAGAGGACACTTTAGGAGGAGACAGAGGAGGACACTAGGAGGAGACACAGGGAGGACACTTTAGGAGGAGACAGATGAGGACATTTTAGGAGGAGACACAGGGAGGAACCAAGGGGAGACAGAGGAGAACACTTTAGGAGGAGACAGAGGAGGACACTTTAGGAGGAGACAGAGGAGGACACTTTAGGAGGAGACAGAGGAGGACACTTTAGGAGGAGACAGAGGGAGGACACTTTAGGACGAGACAGAGGACACTTTAGGAGGAGACACAGGGAGGAACCAAGAGGAGACAGAGGACACTTTAGGAGGAGACAGAGGGAGGACACTTTAGGAAGAGACAGAGGAGGACACTTTAGGAGGAGACAGAGGAGGACACTTTAGGAGGAGACAGAGGAGGACACTTTAGGAGGGAGACAGAGGAGGACACTTTAGGAGGAGACAGAGGAGGACACTTTAGGAGGAGACAGAGGAGGACACTTTAGGAGGAGACAGAGGAGGACACTTTAGGAGGAGACAGAGGAGGACACTTTAGGAGGAGACAGAGGAGGACACTTTAGGAGGAGACACAGGGAGGAACCAAGAGGAGACAGAGGAGGACACTTTAGGAGGAGACAGAGGAAGGACACTTTAGGAGGAGACACAGGGAGGAACCAAGAGGAGACAGAGGAGGACACTTTAGGAGGAGACAGAGGAGGACACTTAAGGAGGAGACAGAGGAGGACACTTTAGGAGGAGACACAGGGAGGAACCAAGAGGAGACAGAGGAGGACACTTTAGGAGGAGACAGAGGAAGGACACTTTAGGAGGAGACACAGGGAGGAACCAAGAGGAGACAGAGGAGGACACTTTAGGAGGACACAGAGGAGGACACTTTAGGAGGAGACACAAGGAGGAACCAAGAGGAGACAGAGGACACTTTAGGAGTAGACAGAGGAGGACACTTTAGGAGGAGACACAGGGAGGAACCAAGAGGAGACACAGGGAGGAACCAGGAGACAGAGGAGGACGAGGAGACAGAGGAGGACACTTTAGGAGGAGACACAGGGAGGACACTTTAGGAGGAGACACAGGGAGGAACCAAGAGGAGACACAGGGAGGAACCAAGAGGAGACACAGGGAGGAACCAAGAGGAGACAGAGGAGGACACTTTAGGAGGAGACAGAGGAGGACACTTTAGGAGGAGACACAGGGAGGACACTTTAGGAGGAGACACAGGGAGGAACCAAGAGGAGACAGAGGAGGACACTTTAGGAGGAGACACAGGGAGGAACCAAGAGGAGACAGAGGAGGACATTTTAGGAGGAGACACAGGGAGGACACTTTAGGAGGAGACAGATGAGGACATTTTAGGAGGAGACAGATGAGGACATTTTAGGAGGAGACACAGGGAGGAACCAAGGGGAGACAGAGGAGGACATTTTAGGAGGAGACAGAGGAGGACACTTTAGGAGGAGACACAGGGAGGACACTTTAGGAGGAGACAGAGGAGGACACTTTAGGAGGAGACAGAGGAGGACACTTTAGGAGGAGACAGAGGAGGACACTTTAGGAGGAGACACAGGGAGGACACTTTAGGAGTAGACAGATGAGGACATTTTAGGAGGAGACAGATGAGGACATTTTAGGAGGAGACACAGGGAGGAACCAAGGGGAGACAGAGGAGGACACTTTAGGAGGAGACAGAGGAGGACACTTTAGGAGGAGACAGAGGGAGGACACTTTAGGACGAGACAGAGGAGGACACTTTAGGACGAGACAGAGGAGGACACTTTAGGAGGAGACACAGGGAGGAACCAAGAGGAGACAGAGGAGGACACTTTAGGAGGAGACAGAGGAGGACACTTTAGGAGGAGATACAGGGAGGACACTTTAGGAGGAGACACAGGAAGGACACTTTAGGAGGAGACACAGGAAGGACACTTTAGGAGGAGACAGAGGAGGACACTTTAGGAGGAGACAGAGGGAGGACACTTTAGGAGGAGACAGAGGGAGGACACTTTAGGAGGAGACAGAGGAGGACACTTTAGGAGGAGACAGAGGAGGACACTTTAGGAGGAGACAGAGGAGGACACTTTAGGAGGAGACAGAGGAGGACACTTTAGGAGGAGACAGAGGAGGACACTTTAGGAGACAGAGGAGGACACTTTAGGAGGAGACAGAGGGAGGACACTTTAGGAGGAGACAGAGGGAGGACACTTTAGGAGGAGACAGAGGGAGGACACTTTAGGAGGAGACAGAGGAGGACACTTTAGGAGGAGACAGAGGGAGGACACTTTAGGAGGAGACAGAGAGAGGACACTTTAGGAGGAGGAGACAGAGACAGGAGGACACTTTAGGAGGAGACAGAGGAGGACACTTTAGGAGGAGACAGAGGGAGGACACTTTAGGAGGAGACAGAGGGAGGACACTTTAGGAGGAGACAGAGGGAGGACACTTTAGGAGGAGACAGAGGAGGACACTTTAGGAGGAGACAGAGGAGGACACTTTAGGAGGAGACAGAGGAGGACACTTTAGGAGGAGACAGAGGAGGACACTTTAGGAGGAGACACAGGAGGAACCAGAGGAGACAGAGGAGGACACTTTAGGAGGAGACAGAGAAGGACACTTTAGGAGGAGACACAGGGAGGACACTTTAGGAGGAGACACAGGGAGGACACTTTAGGAGGAGACACAGGGAGGACACTTTAGGAGGAGACACAGGGGGGACACTTTAGGAGGAGACACAGGGGGGACGCTTTAGGAGGAGACACAGGGAGGACACATTAGGAGGAGACACAGGAAGGACACTTTAGGAGGAGACAGAGGAGGACACTTTAGGAGGAGACACAGGGAGGAACCAAGAGGAGACAAAGGACACTTTAGGAGTAGACAGAGGAGGACACTTTAGGAGGAGACACAGGGAGGAACCAAGAGGAGGACAGTTAAGGAGGAGACAGAGGAGGACACTTAAGGAGTAGACGGAGGAGGACACACACACACACACTCTCTTACCGTGTCTAACGCTGTTGTTCAGTTGTCTCCACATGTGTCAGAGTTCGGGTCTCGGAGACAGAGTACCGCAGAGTACCACAGAGTACTACAGTTCTCTATACTCGGCAGAAACACGAGCTTTGACCGGTTTCTGTTTCTCACGGCGACTGCAGCGCGCCGCCATCTTGATTTGAAAATAACTTTATTAACAATTACAACACGGTAACAACAAACGGAAGAAAACGCCATGACGTCACTGTTCCGCCTTGTTTTTGTTTAGGACTGTGCACGTGCATGGACACTATGGATCTCACACACAGACATACACTGAACTAATGCACATGTGAGTAGGGAATAAATACACCATGGAGGATAGATAACCATGGTCTACGCAGGTGGACAAGCACAATCCCTCACAGTCACAGGGTCCCATTGTGTGTCCATGTTATGACTGATATGTTCTGATTATGTGTCCATGTTATGACTGATATGTTCTGATTGTGTATCCATGTTATGACTGATATGTTCTGATTGTGTGTCCATGTTATGACTGATATGTTCTGATTATGTGTCCATGTTATGACTGATATGTTCTGATTGTGTGTCCATGTGATGACTGATATGTTCTGATTGTGTGCCCATGTTATGACTGATATGTTCTGATTGTGTGTCCATGTGATGACTGATATGTTCTGATTGTGTGTCCATGTTATGACTGATATGTTCTGATTGTGTATCCATGTTATGACTGATATGTTCTGATTGTGTGTCCATGTTATGACTGATATGTTCTGATTGTGTGCCCATGTTATGACTGATATGTTCTGATTGTGTGTCCATGTTATGACTGATATGTTCTGATTGTGTGCCCATGTTATGACTGATATGTTCTGATTGTGTGCCCATGTTATGACTGATATGTTCTGATTGTGTGCCCATGTTATGACTGATATGTTCTGATTGTGTGTCCATGTTATGACTGATATGTTCTGATTGTGTGTCCATGTTATTATTATTATTATTAAACTTTATTACAGACACGAAGTCCAGATAAGAAAGACATTACACAAAAACAAAAACAACAATAATTATAAAAAATACATGATTACAGCAGACTACTGTACCAGTGACGCCACAGTTCAGACTGATAGCGTGTGGCACTGATTCTGATGTTGGTCAGGCTCATTATGATCACATTCTGACTTTGATTCAATCGACAAATAAATCTGTACATCAGGTTTCTTAGTACAGCACGAAAAGTTCGAATCCCAGAAGAAACAAATAATAGGCTGGCACTCTCCCACCGAGACCTTTTCAACAGGATTCTTAGGCAGTCATTGTATGCCACATTTAGCTTCCGCATGCTGGATTGTCTATAGCTTGACCACAGATGTGCCGTATATAACGGTGTACAATAAGCTTTAAAAATTGTCTTTTTCACTTCATCTGTGCATGCACCAAACCTGCGCACAAGCCTATTGGCCTGTGCATACATCATGCGGCACTGCCGTAACACTTCTGATTGTGTGTCCATGTGATGACTGAGAAACTGAATAAACTTCTGGTGCCACGATCCCGTCTCTTTGAGGTTCATCTTCCACAACACACAGACATACACTGAACTAATGCACATGTGTGAAGGGAAACATGAGCAGAACATGCAAACTCGGCTGCTCCGACCGCACAAACGCTAACCACTGCGCCACTGTGATGGCACATGTATCATGTCCAGGACAGCAATAAATGAATGGACTGAGGCTGTAGAGATCCAGGACTGAGGCTGTAAACCCAGGACTGAGGCTGTAGACCCAGGACTGAGGCTGTAGACCCAGGACTGAGGCTGTAGACCCAGGATTGAGGCTGTAGACATACTGTATATATACAAGACTAAAGTTACAGATCTGAGCTTTAAACATGTGTTATTTAGACTAAAGTTACAGACCTCATCTTTAAACATGAGCACTCGCTGAGTGGTTAGCCTCTGGATTAAGGAGATAATCCCACTGTGGATTATTGTTACATGAAGCATCACTTTATTCAGAACAGGTCATGACGTCACTGTGGGTCATCTTCATCATCATCATCACAGTCTGTGTCCTGAGGGAGGCAGCAGAAGCCACGCCCCCTTTGTCCTGAGGGAGGCAGCAGAAGCCACGCCCCCTGTGTCCTGAAGGAGGCGGCAGAAGCCACGCCCCCTCGGTCACAGCTCAGTCTCATCACAGCGGAGCTGCTGCAGGGGCTCCGGGAGGATGTAGAGACCAGACCGAGAGCACACGGAGGATGCCCGCTGCTCAGTCTGCTCCCGGGGCCACGGCAGCATGAGGACCCCCCGTGAGGCTCCCGTGTGTCTCCTCCTGTCGCTCCTCGCCCTGACTCCGCTCTGTCGCGGCTGGAGTGAGGAGGAGGTGCTGCTGCCGCCGGTGAACGCGTCAAACCGGTTCGTGGCGAATCTGGAGCTGGACGTGCACTTGTCCAAACGCTCCGTGGAGGAGAGCGAGCCCCCGGAGCCCCCGGAGGTGTCCCCGTGTAACGTGACCGTGCAGCGGCTACTGCCCACGTCGCTGGTCGCGCGATGGGACAGCAGCTTCCAGTGTGACGTGCTGTTGTACACCACCAACACCCACGGGAGAGCCTTCTTCTCAGCCTCCATCAACCGGGGGCTGTCCCCGGTGGTCATCGAGCATCTGGCCATCACCGGAGGTCAGCAGGAGCTGCGTCTGTGCGTGGGCTGCGGGATGTCCCGCTACCGCCGCTTCCGCGGCAGGAGCCTCCATCCCGGGGACCAGGTCCCGTTCTGCTGCGTGGACTTCAGTCTGGACGAACTCAGAGGAGACACGAGCTGGAGCCTTAACCGGAAACCGGTGGAATCTACGCTCGTGGCCTGTTTCATGACGCTCGTCATCATCGTGTGGAGCGTGGCTGCCCTCATCTGGCCAGTGCCTATTATTGCAGGCTTCCTGCCCAATGGGATGGAGCAGAGGAGGGTGAGGTAGAGAGGGGGAGAGAGGAGGGTGAGGAGAGAGGGGATGAGAGGAGGGTGAGGTAGAGGAGGGGAGGAAGACGAGGGGGAGAGAGGAGGGTGGATGGGGAGGAGAGAGGGGGAGAGAGGAGGGTGAGGCGAGAGGAAGAGAGGAGAGAGGGTAAGGAGGAGAGAGGAAGAGATAGGAGGAGCGAGGGGGAGAGAGGAGGGTGAGGCGAGAGGAAGAGAGGAGAGAGGGTAAGGAGGAGAGAGGAAGAGATAGGAGAGGAGCGAGGGGGAGAGAGGAGGGTGAGGTAAAGGGTTGAGGAGAGAGGGGTGAGAGAGGAGGGTGAGGCGAGGGGAGGAGAGAGGAAGAGATAGGAGAGGAGATAAGGGGAGAGGTGGAGTTCCAGAGGAGGAGGAGAGAGGTGGAGTTCCAGAGGAGGAGGAGAGAGGTGGAGTCCCAGAGGAGGAGGAGAGGTGGAGTCCCAGAGGAGGACAGAGGAAGAGTCCCAGAAGGGGAGTCCCAGAGGAGGACAGAGGAGGAGTCCCAGAGGAGGACAGAGGAGGGGGAAAGAGGAGGCCAGAGGAGTCCCAGAGGAGGAGGACAGAGGAGGAGAAGAGAGGAGGACAGAGGAGTCCCAGAGGAGGAGTCCCAGAGGAGGAGTCCCAGAGGAGGAGTCCCAGAGGAGGAGTCCCAGAGGAGGAGTCCCAGAGGAGGAGTCCCAGAGGAGGAGTCCCAGAGGAGGACAACCTTTAAGCCTTCTTCCTGTCGTCATGTGACCCCTGCACAATAATCCAGTCGTGTTTTCACTTTATATCTTTGTAGAGTCTTCTCTGATCTCTAATGTGTGGATCTCAAGTTTCCATGGGGACGCTGCAACAGTGAAAGGTCAGAGTTTCCATGGAGACGGTGTTTCAGGTGTAAACGCTCCAGAGTGGAACAGACCTCAGCACTTCGTACGTTTAGACGCAGTAGAACGTAAACAACAATGGCTAATGCTAATGCTATGTGTGCTTTGCTAACGTAGGACGAGTCCACTCCTTGTCCAAACCAACCACAGCTATAGTTTCACTCTGGTCTCTCTGGTTTCTCTCTCTGGTCTCATCTCTGGTCTCATATCTGGTCTCTCTCTCTGGTCTCACTCTGGTCTCCCTCTGGTCTCTCTCTCTGGTCTTTCTGGTCTCTTTCTTGTCTCTCTCTCTCTCTTGTCTCTCTCTGGTCTCGCTCTAGTCTCTCTCTGGTCTCTCACTGCCCCCTACTGGCCGCAAGCTGCAACTACATGGTTTTCTGTCTAAACGCTGTGAACTTGAACACGGAGGCTGTTCCTTTGGCTCACTGCAGCGTCTCTGTCATCTCTAATCTGTGGATCTCAGAGTCGTCTCTAATCTGTGGATCTCAGAGTCATCTCTAATCTTGAACACTTTAACTTTTTATCAGAAAACGTTTCCTGTTGAAGTTTGATATTTGTAGATTTATAATAAATATACACTTTGTAAAAACTTTAAAATAAAACAGTTTCACTTTGTTTTTGTTTTTTCTTTCAGTCAGAGTCGGTGTCGGAGTCAGTGTCAGTGTCGGAGTCAGTGTCGGAGTCGGATTCAGAGTCAGTGTCGGAGTCAGTGTCTGAGTCAGAGTCGGATTCAGAGTCGGTGTCAGTGTCGGAGTCAGAGTCGGATTCAGTGTCAGTGTCCGAGTCGGTGTCGGATTCAGAGTCAGAGTCGGTGTCAGAGTCGGTGTCGGATTCAGAGTCAGAGTCAGTGTCAGAGTCAGAGTCAGAGTCAGTGTCAGAGTCAGAGTCAGTGTCAGAGTCAGAGTCGGTGTCGGATTCAGAGTCAGTGTCAGTGTCAGTGTCAGAGTCAGTGTCAGAGTCAGAGTCACAGTCGGTGTCAGAGTCGGTGTCAGTGTCGGAGTCAGTGTCAGTGTCAGATTCAGTGTCAGAGTCAGAGTCAGTGTCAGAGTCAGAGTCGGTGTCGGATTCAGAGTCAGTGTCAGTGTCAGTGTCAGAGTCAGTGTCAGAGTCAGAGTCACAGTCGGTGTCAGAGTCGGTGTCAGTGTCGGAGTCAGTGTCAGTGTCAGAGTCAGTGTCGGAGTCGGATTCAGAGTTGGTGTCGGATTCAGAGTCAGTGTCGGAGTCGGTGTGGAGTCAGAGTCACAGTCGGTGTCAGAGTCGGTGTCAGTGTCAGAGTCGGTGTCAGAGTCGGTGTCAGTGTCGGAGTCAGAGTCTGAGTCAGATTCAGAGTCAGTGTCGGAGTCAGTGTCTGAGTCAGTGTCGGAGTCGGATTCAGAGTCAGTGTCGGTGTCGGAGTCAGAGTCAGAGTCGGATTCAGTGTCAGTGTCCGAGTCGGTGTCGGATTCAGAGTTGGTGTCGGATTCAGAGTCAGTGTCGGAGTCAGAGTCAGTGTCGGAGTCAGTGTCTGAGTCAGAGTCGGTGTCAGATTCGGTGTCGGAGTCTGAGTCGGATTCAGAGTCAGTGTCGGAGTCAGAGTCGGTGTCAGAGTCGGTGTCAGAGTCGGTGTCAGTGTCGGAGTCAGAGTCAGAGTCGGATTCAGTGTCAGTGTCAGAGTCAGAGTCAGTGTCAGTGTCCGAGTCGGTGTCGGATTCAGAGTCAGAGTCGGTGTCAGTGTCGGAGTCGGATTCAGAGTCAGTGTCAGTGTCAGAGTCAGAGTCAGTGCCAGAGTCAGAGTCGGAGTCTGTGTCGGAGTCGGAGTCAGTGTCGGTGTCGGAGTCAGTGTCAGAGTCAGTGTCAGTGTCAGAGTCAGAGTCAGTGTCAGAGTCAGAGTCAGTGTCAGTGTCAGTGTCAGAGTCAGAGTCAGTGTCAGAGTCGGTGTCGGAGTCGGTGTCAGAGTCAGTGTCAGTGTCAGAGTCGGTGTCGGAGTCAGTGTCAGAGTCAGAGTCAGTGTCAGAGTCAGTGTCAGAGTCAGAGTCAGAGTCAGTGTCAGAGTCAGAGTCAGTGTCGGAGTCGGTGTCGGAGTCGGAGTCAGTGTCAGAGTCGGTGTCGGAGTCAGTGTCAGAGTCAGTGTCAGTGTCAGAGTCAGAGTCAGTGTCAGAGTCAGAGTCAGTGTCAGAGTCAGAGTCAGAGTCAGTGTCAGTGTCAGAGTCAGAGTCAGTGTCAGTGTCGGAGTCGGTGTCAGAGTCAGTGTCAGTGTCAGTGTCAGTGTCAGAGTCGGTGTCGGAGTCAGTGTCAGAGTCAGAGTCAGTGTCAGAGTCAGTGTCAGAGTCAGAGTCAGAGTCAGTGTCAGAGTCAGAGTCAGTGTCGGAGTCGGTGTCGGAGTCGGAGTCAGTGTCAGAGTCGGTGTCGGAGTCAGTGTCAGAGTCAGAGTCAGAGTCAGTGTCAGAGTCAGAGTCAGAGTCAGTGTCAGTGTCAGAGTCAGTGTCAGAGTCGGTGTCGGAGTCGGAGTCAGTGTCAGAGTCAGAGTCAGTGTCAGAGTCAGTGTCAGAGTCAGAGTCAGAGTCAGAGTCAGTGTCAGTGTCAGAGTCAGAGTCAGTGTCGGAGTCGGTGTCAGAGTCGGTGTCGGAGTCAGTGTCAGAGTCAGTGTCAGTGTCAGAGTCAGTGTCAGAGTTAGAGTCAGTGTCAGAGTCAGAGTCAGTGTCAGAGTCAGAGTCAGTGTCAGTGTCAGTGTCAGTGTCAGAGTCAGAGTCGGTGTCAGATTCGGTGTCAGTGTCGGAGTCTGAGTCGGATTCAGAGTCAGTGTCGGAGTCGGATTCAGAGTCAGTGTCGGAGTCAGAGTCGGTGTCAGAGTCGGTGTCAGAGTCGGTGTCAGTGTCGGAGTCAGAGTCAGAGTCAGAGTCGGATTCAGTGTCAGTGTCAGTGTCAGAGTCAGAGTCAGAGTCAGTGTCAGTGTCAGTGTCAGTGTCAGAGTCAGAGTCAGTGTCAGTGTCAGTGTCCGAGTCGGTGTCGGATTCAGAGTCAGAGTCGGTGTCAGTGTCGGAGTTGGATTCAGAGTCAGTGTCAGTGTCAGAGTCAGAGTCAGTGCCAGAGTCAGAGTCAGAGTCGGTGTCGGAGTCTGTGTCGGAGTCGGAGTCAGTGTCGGTGTCGGAGTCAGTGTCAGAGTCAGTGTCAGTGTCAGTGTCAGAGTCAGAGTCAGTGTCAGAGTCAGTGTCAGTGTCAGAGTCAGAGTCAGTGTCAGAGTCGGTGTCGGAGTCGGAGTCAGTGTCAGAGTCAGTGTCAGTGTCAGTGTCAGTGTCAGAGTCGGTGTCGGAGTCAGTGTCAGAGTCAGAGTCAGAGTCAGTGTCAGAGTCAGAGTCAGTGTCAGAGTCAGAGTCAGAGTCAGAGTCAGTGTCAGAGTCAGTGTCGGAGTCGGTGTCGGAGTCGGAGTCAGTGTCAGAGTCGGTGTCGGAGTCAGTGTCAGAGTCAGTGTCAGTGTCAGTGTCAGAGTCAGAGTCAGTGTCAGAGTCAGAGTCAGTGTCAGAGTCAGAGTCAGAGTCAGTGTCAGTGTCAGAGTCAGAGTCAGTGTCAGAGTCGGTGTCGGAGTCGGAGTCAGTGTCAGAGTCAGAGTCAGTGTCAGAGTCAGAGTCAGTGTCAGAGTCAGAGTCGGATTCAGAGTCAGTGTCAGTGTCGGAGTCAGAGTGAGAGTCAGAGTCAGAGTCGGTGTCGGAGTCAGAGTCAGAGTTGGTGTCAGTGTCGGATTCAGAGTCAGTGTCAGTGTCAGAGTCAGAGTCAGAGTCAGTGTCAGAGTCGGTGTCAGTGTCGGAGTCGGATTCAGAGTCAGTGTCAGTGTCGGAGTCGGATTCAGTGTCAGTGTCAGAGTCGGAGTCAGAGTCAGAGTCAGAGTCGGTGTCAGTGTCGGATTCAGAGTCAGTGTCAGTTTCAGAGTCAGAGTCAGTGTCAGAGTCGGTGTCAGTGTCGGAGTCGGATTCAGAGTCAGTGTCAGTGTCGGAGTCGGATTCAGAGTCAGTGTCAGTGTCAGTGTCAGAGTCGGAGTCAGAGTCAGTGTCAGAGTCGGTGTCAGAGTCAGTGTCGGAGTCAGAGTCGGAGTCGGATTCAGTGTCAGTGTCAGTGTCAGAGTCAGTGTCAGAGTCAGAGTCAGAGTCAGTGTCAGTGTCAGTGTCCGAGTCGGTGTCGGATTCAGAGTCAGAGTCGGTGTCAGTGTCGGAGTCGGATTCAGAGTCAGTGTCAGAGTCAGTGTCAGAGTCAGAGTCAGAGTCAGAGTCGGTGTCAGTGTCAGTGTCAGAGTCAGTGTCAGAGTCAGAGTCAGAGTCAGTGTCAGAGTCAGAGTCGGTGTCGGATTCAGAGAGTGTCAGTGTCAGTGTCAGTGTCAGTGTCAGAGTCAGTGTCAGAGTCAGAGTCAGTGTCAGAGTCAGAGTCACAGTCGGTGTCAGAGTCGGTGTCAGTGTCGGAGTCAGTGTCAGTGTCAGAGTCAGTGTCGGAGTCGGATTCAGAGTTGGTGTCGGATTCAGAGTCAGTGTCGGAGTCGGTGTTGGAGTCAGAGTCAGTGTCAGAGTTACTGTCAGAGTCGGTGTCAGAGTCGGTGTCAGTGTCGGAGTCAGAGTCTGAGTCAGATTCAGAGTCAGTGTCGGAGTCAGTGTCTGAGTCAGAGTCGGTGTCAGAGTCAGTGTCGGAGTCGGATTCAGAGTCAGTGTCGGTGTCGGAGTCAGAGTCAGAGTCAGAGTCGGATTCAGAGTCAGTGTCGGTGTCGGAGTCAGAGTCAGAGTCGGATTCAGTGTCAGTGTCCGAGTCGGTGTCGGATTCAGAGTCGGTGTCGGATTCAGAGTCAGTGTCGGAGTCAGAGTCAGTGTCGGAGTCAGTGTCTGAGTCAGAGTCGGTGTCAGATTCGGTGTCAGTGTCGGAGTCTGAGTCGGATTCAGAGTCAGTGTCGGAGTCGGATTCAGAGTCAGTGTCGGAGTCAGAGTCGGAGTCAGAGTCGGTGTCAGAGTCGGTGTCAGAGTCGGTGTCAGTGTCGGAGTCAGAGTCAGAGTCAGAGTCGGATTCAGTGTCAGTGTCAGTGTCAGAGTCAGAGTCAGAGTCAGTGTCAGTGTCAGTGTCAGTGTCAGAGTCAGAGTCAGAGTCAGTGTCAGTGTCAGTGTCCGAGTCGGTGTCGGATTCAGAGTCAGAGTCGGTGTCAGTGTCGGAGTCGGATTCAGAGTCAGTGTCAGTGTCAGAGTCAGTGCCAGAGTCAGAGTCAGAGTCGGTGTCGGAGTCTGTGTCGGAGTCGGAGTCAGTGTCGGTGTCGGAGTCAGTGTCAGAGTCAGTGTCAGTGTCAGTGTCAGAGTCAGAGTCAGTGTCAGAGTCAGAGTCAGTGTCAGTGTCAGAGTCAGAGTCAGTGTCAGAGTCGGTGTCGGAGTCGGAGTCAGTGTCAGAGTCAGTGTCAGTGTCAGTGTCAGTGTCAGAGTCGGTGTCGGAGTCAGTGTCAGAGTCAGAGTCAGAGTCAGTGTCAGAGTCAGAGTCAGTGTCAGAGTCAGAGTCAGAGTCAGTGTCAGAGTCAGAGTCAGTGTCGGAGTCGGTGTCGGAGTCGGAGTCAGTGTCAGAGTCGGTGTCGGAGTCAGTGTCAGAGTCAGTGTCAGTGTCAGTGTCAGTGTCAGAGTCAGAGTCAGAGTCAGTGTCAGAGTCAGAGTCAGTGTCAGAGTCAGAGTCAGAGTCAGTGTCAGTGTCAGAGTTAGAGTCAGTGTCAGAGTCGGTGTCGGAGTCGGAGTCAGTGTCAGAGTCAGAGTCAGTGTCAGAGTCAGAGTCAGTGTCAGAGTCAGAGTCAGAGTCAGAGTCAGTGTCAGTGTCAGAGTCAGAGTCAGTGTCGGAGTCGGTGTCAGAGTCGGTGTCGGAGTCAGTGTCAGAGTCAGTGTCAGTGTCAGTGTCAGAGTCAGAGTCAGTGTCAGAGTCAGAGTCAGAGTCAGAGTCAGTGTCAGAGTCAGAGTCAGTGTCAGAGTCAGAGTCAGTGTCAGTGTCAGAGTCAGAGTCAGAGTCAGTGTCAGAGTCGGTGTCGGAGTCAGTGTCAGAGTCAGAGTCAGAGTCAGTGTCAGAGTCAGTGTCAGAGTCAGAGTCAGTGTCAGTGTCAGAGTCAGAGTCAGTGTCGGAGTCGGTGTCGGAGTCAGTGTCAGAGTCAGTGTCAGTGTCAGTGTCAGAGTCAGTGTCAGAGTCAGTGTCAGTGTCAGAGTCAGAGTCAGAGTCAGAGTCAGTGTCAGTGTCAGAGTCAGTGTCGGAGTCGGTGTCGGAGTCGGAGTCAGTGTCAGTGTCAGAGTCAGTGTCAGAGTCAGTGTCAGTGTCAGTGTCAGAGTCAGTGTCAGAGTCAGTGTCAGTGTCAGAGTCAGAGTCAGTGTCAGAGTCGGTGTCGGAGTTGGAGTCAGTGTCAGAGTCAGTGTCAGTGTCAGTGTCAGAGTCAGAGTCAGAGTCAAAGTCAGAGTCAGTGTCAGTGTCAGAGTCAGAGTCAGTGTCAGAGTCGGTGTCGGAGTCGGAGTCAGTGTCGGAGTCAGTGTCAGAGTCAGTGTCAGTGTCAGAGTCAGTGTCAGAGTCAGTGTCAGTGTCAGAGTCAGAGTCAGTGTCAGAGTTGGTGTCGGAGTCGGAGTCAGTGTCAGAGTCAGTGTCAGTGTCAGAGTCAGAGTCAGTGTCAGAGTCAGAGTCAGAGTCAGTGTCAGAGTCAGAGTCAGAGTCAGTGTCAGTGTCAGAGTCAGAGTCAGTGTCAGAGTCGGAGTCGGAGTCAGTGTCAGAGTTGGTGTCGGAGTCAGTGTCACAGTCAGTGTCACAGTCAGTGTCAGTGTCAGAGTCAGTGTCAGAGTCAGAGTCAGTGTCAGAGTCAGAGTCAGAGTCAGAGTCAGTGTCAGTGTCAGAGTCAGAGTCAGTGTCAGAGTCGGTGTCGGAGTCGGAGTCAGTGTCAGAGTTGGTGTCGGAGTCAGTGTCACAGTCAGTGTCACAGTCAGTGTCAGTGTCAGAGTCAGTGTCAGAGTCAGAGTCAGTGTCAAAGTCAGAGTCAGTGTCAGTGTCAGAGTCAGAGTCAGTGTCAGAGTCGGTGTCGGAGTCGGAGTCAGTGTCAGAGTCAGTGTCAGAGTCAGAGTCAGTGTCAGAGTCAGAGTCAGTGTTGGAGTCGGTGTCGGAGTCGGAGTCAGTGTCAGAGTCAGTGTCAGTGTCAGAGTCAGTGTCAGTGTCAGAGTCAGAGTCAGTGTTGGAGTCGGTGTCGGAGTCGGAGTCAGTGTCAGAGTCAGTGTCAGTGTCAGAGTCAGAGTCAGTGTCAGAGTCAGAGTCAGAGTCAGTGTCAGAGTCAGAGTCAGTGTCAGAGTTGGTGTCGGAGTCGGAGTCAGTGTCAGAGTCAGTGTCAGTGTCAGAGTCAGTGTCAGAGTCGGTGTCGGAGTCAGTGTCAGAGTCAGTGTCAGTGTCAGTGTCAGAGTCAGTGTCAGAGTCAGTGTCAGTGTCAGTGTCAGAGTCAGTGTCAGAGTCGGTGTCGGAGTCGGAGTCAGTGTCAGAGTCAGTGTCAGAGTCAGAGTCAGTGTCAGAGTCAGAGTCAGAGTCAGTGTCAGTGTCAGAGTCAGAGTCAGTGTCGGTGTCGGAGTCGGAGTCAGTGTCAGAGTCAGTGTCAGTGTCAGTGTCAGAGTCAGAGTCAGTGTCAGAGTCAGAGTCAGAGTCAGAGTCAGTGTCAGAGTCAGAGTCAGAGTCAGTGTCAGAGTCAGAGTCAGAGTCAGAGTCAGTGTCAGAGTCAGAGTCAGAGTCAGTGTCAGAGTCGGTGTCGGAGTCAGTGTCAGTGTCAGTGTCAGAGTCAGTGTGAGAGTCAGAGTCAATGTTAGTGTCAGAGTCAGTGTCTGACACTGACACTATATAACTCTATCTGACCCTACTTAACATTAAAACAACTGTGGGCACAGTATGGACCCCTGTCCATACATGCTTTTATCTTTAGCAGAAATTTAAAAAATTATGTTTTTATATTTCATCATTTTTATGGTTTTTATTCATATGTTTTATTGTTTGCGAATGTTCTCTCTGTGACTGTTAAGCACCTAACTTTATATAACTCTATATGACTCTATATGACTCTATGTGTCTATATTGGGGCTTTCAGACCGCCAACGCTGAAACGCTGAAGCCCCGCTCACCAGACGCGCATTCTCTAGTTTTCAGACGCAGAGGTCTTCACACCAGAACGTCGTGACGAGAGCCGGAAGTACCGGAAGTAGCCGGCCGGCTCTGATGCTAACAGAGCTATGCTAGCGGCTTCTTGTGTACAGATCTTCTCCAATATGCAGCTTTGCAGCGTGTCTGTGTTCACAGACATTCCACGGGCTTTATACAACAGTAGTATGTGTTCACGAAGGTGACTTTATATAACAGTAGTATGTGTTCACGGAGGTGACTTTATATAACAGCAGTATGTGTTCACGGAGGTGACTTTATACAACAGTAGTATGTGTACACGAAGGTGGCTTTATATAACAGTAGTATGTGTTCACGGAGGTGCGCCATACGTTTTTTCATATTATTAAACGGAATTTCCGCATTGGTGAACACACTCGAAGCAGTTGCATAAGGTCACGGGAGCATGACAACGCATATATTCACAAGCACAGAGTCCCCCATTGTCAACCCTGGTTTGAGTTCTGGTGAAGCCTGGTGTGGGTCCTGTTTTGGCTGTTTATGAGTATTTTCAGTCTGCTCGCTCAGTCCGCTAATGTCCCCGTGACCACTTTGCTGCTCTCTGATTGGTTGTCGCACGAACGTTGCAAGGAAACGGATGAGCAGAATCCATCTCCGGTGGGCGTTGATTTTTCGCTCCTGCTCCTCCCTTTTCATTTTCCCGCCAAGTCCATGCGTCATTATTGAACAGTCCGTTCGTGCGTGCCGAGAAGTCCGTGCGTTGTGACCGTTGAACGCGCGCCACCATAGACTTTGCATTGAAACCCGACGCAACGCATGATCCGGTCTGAAAGCACCATGTAACTCTATATGACTCTATGACTCTATATAACTCTATATGACTCTATGTGACTCTATGTGACTCTATGTGACTCTATGACTCTGTATGACTCTATGACTCTATATGACTCTATATGACTCTATGTGACTCTATGACTCTATATAACTCTATATGACTCTATATAACTCTATATGACTCTGTATTACTCTATGTGACTCTATGACTCTATATGACTCTATATGACTCTATATAACTCTATATAACTCTATATGACTCTATGACTCTATATGACTCTATATGACTCTATCTCTATATGACTCTACTTCGGGGGTCCCTCTCCTCGGGGTCCCTCTCCTTGGGGGCCCTCTCCTCGGGGTCCCTCTGTCCCTCTCCTCTGGGTCCCTCTCCTCAGGGTCCCTCTCCTCAGGGTCCCTCTCCTCGGGGGCCCCTCTCCTTGGGGGCCCTCTCCTCGGGGTCCCTCTCCTCTGGGGCCCCTCTCCTCGGGCCCCATGAGCCTTGCTCCGGCCCTGCGCTGTACCTGGTGACGTCATCGCCGCACCTCGAGGCGGTAGTGTTCGTAACGTTTGTGTTTCACCGGAACACAATCTGCGGACCGCGGACACAGTTGGATCTGTGAGGTCTGAGCAGAAGGGAAGGGCCGATGTGGCGCATTACAGCCGTGATGGCGCTGGGCTGCGTCTGCGTGAGTCTGACGGGTGAGTATTAAAGCTCAGGTGTGTAACTTTAGTCTAAATAACACATGTTTAAAGCTCAGGTCTGTAACTTTAGTCTAAATGACACATGTTTAAAGCTCAGGTCTGTAACTTTTGTCTAAATAACACATGTTTAAAGCTCAGGTCTGTAACTTTAGTCTAAATAACACATGTTTAAAGCTCAGGTCTGTAACTTTAGTCTAAATGATAACCCTAACTCAGTATCATGTCTCTGGTTCTGACTCACAGGGACCTGTAGATACTGACTCACAGGGACCTTTAGATACTAACTCACAGGGACCGTTAGATACTGACTCACAGGGACCTTTAAATACTGACTCACAGGGACCTGTAGATACTGACTCACAGGGACCTGTAGATACTGACTCAAAGGGACCTGCAAATACTGACTCACAGGGACCTGTAGATACTGACTCACAGGGACCTGTAGCTACTGACTCACAGGGACCTGTAGCTACTGACTCACAGGGACCTGTACATACTGACTCACAGGGATTGTTCCTCTGTTGGACACAGATCCTGATGGAGCCAAAAGAGAAGCACAAGGTTTGTTCTGTTTTCACTGTTTCATAAACCATTCTCTCTCTGGTCTCTCTCTGGTCTCTCTCTCTGGTCTCTCTCTCTCGTCTCTCTCTCTGGTCTCTCTCTCTGGTCTCTCTCTCTGGTCTCTCTCTGGTCTCTCTCTGGTCTCTCTCTGGTCTCTCTCTCTGGTCTCTCTCTAGGTCTCTCTGGTCTCTCTCTCTGGTCTCTCTCTCTGGTCTCTCTCTCTGGTCTCTCTCTGGTCTCTCTCTGGTCTCTCTCTCTGGTCTCTCTCTAGGTCTCTCTGGTCTCTCTCTCTGGTCTCTCTCTGGTCTCTCTCTGGTCTCTCTCTCTGGTCTCTCTCTGGTCTCTATCTGGTCTCTCTCTGGTCTCTCTCTCTGGTCTCTCTCTGGTCTCTATCTGGTCTCTCTCTGGTCTCTCTCTGGTCTCTCTCTCTGGTCTCTCTCTGGTCTCTCTCTGGTCTCTCTCTGGTTTCTCTCTCTGGTCTCTCTCTGGTCTCTCTCTCTCTGGTCTCTCTCTCTGGTCTCTCTCTGGTCTCTCTCTCTGGTCTCTCTCAGGTCTCTCTCTCTGGTCTCTCTCTCTGGTCTCTCTCTGGTCGCTCTCTGTTTCCTTGAGCTGTGTTTCCACGTGTCGCTGCAAGAAGCAGGAATTTGAGTGTAACGCAATCGTCACAGAGGCTTTCCACATAGTAAACCATGTGAGACCAGAGAGAGAGACCAGAGAGAGAGACCAGAGAGAGAGACCAGAGAGAGAGACCAGAGAGAGAGACCAGAGAGAGAGAGAGCAGAGAGAGAGAGCAGAGAGAGAGAGCAGAGAGAGACCAGAGAGAGAGACCAGAGAGAGACCAGAGAGAGAGAGACCAGAGAGAGAGACCAGAGAGAGAGACCAGAGAGAGAGACCACAGAGAGAGACCACAGAGAGAGACCACAGAGAGAGAGCAGAGAGAGAGAGGAGAGAGCAGAGAGAGACCAGAGAGAGACCAAAGACCAGAGAGAGAGACCAGAGAGAGAGACCAGAGAGAGAGAGACCAGAGAGAGAGAGACCACAGAGAGAGACCACAGAGAGAGACCAGAGAGAGACCAGAGAGAGAGACAGAGAGAGAGAGAGAGACCAGAGAGAGAGACCAGAGAGAGAGACCACAGAGAGAGAGAGAGACCGACAGAGAGAGACCAGAGAGAGACCGAGACAGAAAGAGACCAGAGAGAGAGACCAGAGAGAGAGACCAGAGAGAGAGAGACCAGAGAGAGAGAGACCAGAGAGAGAGACCAGAGAGAGAGACCAGAGGACCAGAGAGAGAGACCAGAGAGAGAGAGAGACCAGAGAGAGAGACCAGAGAGAGAGACCAGAGAGAGAGACCAGAGAGAGAGACCAGAGAGAGAGACCAGAGAGAGAGACCAGAGAGAGAGAGACCACAGAGAGAGACCACAGAGAGAGACCAGAGAGAGACCACAGAGAGAGACCAGAGAGAGAGACCAGAGAGAGAGACCAGAGAGAGAGACCAGAGAGAGAGACCAGAGAGAGAGACCAGAGAGAGAGACCAGAGAGAGAGACCAGAGAGAGAGACCAGAGAGAGACCAGAGAGAGAGACCAGAGAGAGAGACCAGAGAGAGAGACCAGAGAGAGAGACCACAGAGAGAGACCAGAGAGAGAGACCAGAGAGAGAGACCAGAGAATGTTTCTGTTTTTTTCTACAGTGGTGTGTGAGGTGAACCTGAGGACTCTCCCAGGGTTCTCTCTGCAGTTGAGGTCAAACATCTCGAGCGGCTGCACCATAAAGACCAAGACCAAGACCAGGACTGGGACCGGGACCAGGACCGGGACCTGGGACCTGATCAGCCTCAGCCCCGGGACCCTCACCCAGCTCCAGTTTGACCAGTGCCAACCACAGGACGTCCAAGTCACTGCTGCCAAAACACTGGGTAAGAACCATACACTTGAGACTTCCCAAAACTGTTTGTTGGCTTCGTCCTATCTCAGCAAAAGGTGCTTCAACATGTCCAAGAGTGGACAGTAGCCTACATCAACATGTCCAAGAGTGGACAGTAGCCTACATCAACATGTCCAAGAGTGGACAGTAGCCTACATCAACATGTCCAAGAGTGGACAGTAGCCTACATTGATTGCTAAACAGAGGGTATTGATTGCCTTACTTCTTTTGTTGGCTGGAAATGTGCATCCAAATCCCGGACCTGAGCTTCAATGCTCCCAGACACCTTCTGACTTCAAATCATTGTCTGGTCTTAAAGGAGCTATACCCGTTTCTGCAATGTTTGAATGTTTAGCACCGCCCCCAACTCGCTCACAGGTTATTTGCGATCTGATACGTATGCTAACATTAGCATTAGCACAACTTCTTGTAAGCTGTACAACAATCACTGATGAAATGGTACAAAAGCAACGCACTGCTAACACAATATATAAGTAAAAGAGTACCGCTAGTTTTGCGTCCGAATGTATTAATTTAAACATTAGAATATATTCTAATATTCAATTATAATTTATTATACAGCTCCTCACAGCAGCAGAACACTTCATTGACTTGAATGCAATTCTTCCGATCATTTTTTCTTGATAACAGAACTCTCAAACCAATAATGACCGCAGCCCCAATGCACTCTCTGTTTGTAATTCATGTGTGTAAAATACTGCCATTACTTTACTATCAGCGCCTGTCACTACACTGTGCCGTTTCTCTGCACACTTGTCTGTGTAGAGAAGCTAGCGGAGCTAGCCACGCTCAATAAACAAATACATATCTATCAATCAACACCATTAAACGTTAATCGGACAGTACAGTATATATACATGTATACATCCTTAACACACATGCACGGACCATTTCAGAATTTGCTGTCAACGTTTTCATGACAAAAATACTGTTTTAAAGTGACAAAAAGCGATCGCGAAAAACCCGGAAGTTACCATGAAACAGCTAGCTAGCTTAGCTGTTACCTGCCTAGCACGTCCCGGTGAAACCCTTGGGAGCTAACTATTTTATTTGCAGTCATTAAATACATTTCGAATTATAAGGACTGTCTAATATTTGTTCAAATATATATATATTTAATTTTAGAATTATATTCGAATTTTGAAGTCGAAGCAGGGCTGGACTGGGACCGGGCATTTTTTCCTTCTTAGCGGCCCAGGCAACTCAAAATGTTCAAGGAGCCATATTTGACAAAAAAACTAAAGACAACATCTGTCTGGAGCCGCAAAAAAAAAAAAAAACAGCGTTGTATAAGGCTTGCATGAAGGTAACAGGGGCTGAAGCTGTATTAGCTATATTAGCTACCTTAGCTACATTAGCTACATTAGCTACCTTAGCTACATTAGCTATATTAGCCTAATATCTAAATGAATTGCTACAATGTAAAGGCTACAAACACATAAAAACCATTCATGATTATCAAATGTGTATTTTCATTGCAGCGTGTCCTGGAGAGAATGACGCACCACGTGACAAGTCTGCTTTAAGTTTAACCTTCATGCAATTTTACAAATAGAGTAAATAAATCTGCTTTTTGGCTCCGAGTTCACCTGCATCACTGTCTGTTCATATCCATCACAGGCTGAAGTTTGCTGGAGCTGAATGTCCTTAATGGCCTTTTCTTTCACTGTCTTTGCGAAGGTATTTGAAGTTTGAAAATAGGTGCTCTGACTTTATGATGAATGAATCTTTCAGTGAACAGTGTTTAAAGCTTCATTGTTCCTCCTGTTGCAACAAAACTTTTAATTACATCGCAAACATGAAGCAGTCCTTCCTCATTGACTGAAAGCAAATGTTCAGTCTTATTCTTAGTCCAGTCTTATCGACTCTCTTTATCTTTGGGATCCATGCGCACACACAGTTAAAATTGAATATTACTTATACAAGTTTTTGCAGCATTGAAAAACGTGAAGAATGTTTTTCCTCCTACAGAAACCACATTCAAACTAGAAATAAAATATAGCCCTCACACTCCATTTTCAGACATTTTTTAAAAGGCTCCAGGAGCCACTTTAGGGGCACTAAAGGTTGCCGACCCCTGGTTTATACAGTATGTGGAAGCAAATACTGTAGAGGATCAGAATGTCTGCAGTGTCAACAAAAAAATACAGTACAATAGTCTACATTAAACAGAGTAATAAACATGTCTCAGAGTGAGGGAGGTGGGCACAGGCAACACTATTGTTTGTTACAGGGATGAGAATTAGTAAACATTTCTGAAATGCATATTGTCAGCCATTTGCTGGCTCTAAATCTGTTTAATCTGTTCAAAACATGTTACTTTTGGGCTCAAACATGAACTTTTGATGCAATGGAAAATTTAGGTACCCGAGCTTTAATTTATAGGAGAGGGGAGACGCGGACTGTTTTCTGCAGCGGTGTATTTATTGGGTGCACAAATTACGAAAAGACATGCATGGTCCTGTGCGCGTTTATGGTCTTGGGTATGGTCACGTTGCGGCTACGCGCTCACCGTGTTGTGTTGTGAGCGGCTCCCGGTGAGGGGCTCCTGCGTCCAGCTCAGAGCCGCTGGATGCGGGAACACTGCGGCCGCTGAGGTGGTGGAATCCCGTTCGAGTACATACAGCAGGTGCTCCGCGGACACGCGCGCTCCCCTCAAACATTTCTCAACGGATTTACACTTTTCACAAACATGTTTTTTGTATGAGGCAGACAGACCGGCCCAAATATGGGCATCGGCCCTTCGGGCATTGCCCGGTACGCCCGATGGCCAGTCCAGCCCTGAGTTGAAGCCCTGGTGTTGAGCAGCGCTGTAGAGGCTAGAGGACGCAGGCTGGTCGCTGCTCCTTCTGTGAGCGGAGGAGAACGTCCCGCTAAGACTCTACTCAGCACTTTTCACTGCTGTAATTCTTACACAGCTGAATCAATGACCTCAAGTTTTCAAGGAAATCATGTATTATGATACAACTTGTATGTAGTAAAAAGCATTTTTATGAACTACTTAGAAAAAAATATATAGCTTCTTTAAAAGCATTCATCTTAATGTACGGAGCCTACTGCCAAAGAATCTGGGTGAAATCAACAGGTGCAGATGTTATCATTTCAGAAACATTCTTGGGTACAATGTTTACCGCACTGATAGGCCTAAGAAAGGTGGAGGTGTAGCTATCTATGTTAAATCCAAATTTAATGCCTCAATTATTCTTTCTCAATAATCAGTAAACAAATGGAATTATTGGCCTTGAATATTAAAATAGTAAAATGGCTGCACATTACAGTGGTAGGGTGCTACAGGAGTCGGGTGCTACAGGAGTCGGGTGCTACAGGAGTCGGGTGCTACAGGAGTCGGGTGCTACAGGAGTCGGGTGCTACAGGCTACAGGAGTCGGGTGCTACAGGAGTCGGGTGCTACAGGAGTCGGGTGCTACAGGCTACAGGAGTCGGGTGCTACAGGAGTCGGGTGCCACAGGCTACAGGAGTCGGGTGCTACAGGAGTCGGGTGCTACAGGAGTCGGGTGCTACAGGAGTCGGGTGCTACAGGCTACAGGAGTCGGGTGCTACAGGAGTCGGGTGCTACAGGAGTCGGGTGCCACAGGCTACAGGAGTCGGGTGCTACAGGAGTCGGGTGCTACAGGCTACAGGAGTCGGGTGCTACAGGCCTCCATCTGCCTCAAAGGAAGGATCATTAAAACAGCTTTTGGATCGGTTACATTTCCCTGAGTTGCTTATGGCAGGAGATCTCAACTGGGATTGGTTAAGTGCAACTTCTGATTAATTTAAAAGGTTTTGTGATTCTATTAATCTCACGCAGTCAGTTCCCACCAGGCCCAGTCCCAAAAGTCCAGATAAATCTACCCTGATTGATTTGATTTTGACTAATGTGCCTCAGAAGTTCTCCTCCGTGGGTGTCTTCTGCAATGACTTAAGTGACCATTGCGTTGTGGCTGCGTGCAGGAACACTCAGATCCTTAAGTGCAAACCCTGTTTCGTTTGTAGAAGGAATCTGAAACATTTTAATGAACAAGCCTTTCGTAACCCTAACCCATGCTGGATCGGAAACAATTAGATCTAACACCAGGTGTCTTTTTTTAAAGACATCCTCATGCAAGTAGTAACAAGGCAAGGCAAGACAGAGTAACCTGAACACTGATTGGACCTTTTTTAGACAGCTTCGAAATAAATGCACCTTACTTATAAAAAAGGCCAAAGCAGAATATTATTTGTCCGTTACCACCGAGAACCTCAACAATCTCAACAGTCTCTGTCTGTGGATGTAAAAGATACTCTTCCGACATTTGTATTTAAAGACTCTGTCCCAGTTTATGACAGAACTGAAATCTTAAATTGCTTTAACCAGCACCTTTTATCATCTGGTTCTCTACCTGACGTAAAATAAAAAAAGGGAATCCTTTGACTTGTCACGAAGTGCACAAAGCTCTAAAACCTTAGACCACAGAAAGCCCTGGACCTGGTTTGATTGAGCCGTACTTCTTAAAGCTAGCAGCTGATTTTATAGCAGAGCCACTATCAACTCTTTTTAATCTTTCGATTACAAATAAAATAATTCCTTCTGTCTGGAAATCTGCTTTTGTCCTCCCTTTATTCAAGGCTGGTGATCCAGCAGTTCTTACAATTATAGGCCAACTTCAAATGTGTTTTATCCAAGATTCTAGAGACTCTTATTTTAGACCAGATGAAAAAGTTTCTCTACTCAAATGAAATCATTTCTCAATACCAGTCAGGTTTCAGAAAAAGGCACAGCTCTATCACAGCGACGATGAAGGAGGTAAATGACATCACTGTAGCACTTGACAAAGCAGTTCTGTGCTTCTCTTTTTATCGATCTCTCAAAAGCTTTCGACTCTGTAGACCACGCTGTTTTAATACTTCTTAGTGGATTGTCGGAGAATGCAGTTGCTTGGTTTTCAAATTATTTACAAAAAAAGGACCCAGTGTATAAAACATGAGGACCTTTGCTCTGAATGTGTTACTGTCCACAAGGGGGCGCCACAGGGATCTGTTTTGGGGCCCCTTTTATTCATCTTGTACAATATTGAACAACATGTTCTTGATACAAACACACATTTTGTTGCTGATGATAGCATTTCTTGCGTTGGATCCTCACTTGAACAAGCCGTTCATTCTCTGCAGAAAGCCTTTGTTTCTGTTCACAATTCTTTGTTGAATCTAAAACTACGTGTCAATGCTGACAAGACAAAGCTAATGGTTGTTTAAAACAGAAGAAGCTCCTGCTCCCCCAGTGGGCTCCACTCTGAGGAGAATGTCATTGAAGTGGTGCATGAATACAAATACCTAGGAGTTATCATCCATGACGCCCTCACTTTTAAACCTTTTATCCATGCACTTGTGAGGAAATTAAACATTAAGCTAGGTTTTTTCTTTCAAAATAAGACATGTTTTTCTTTTGGGGTCAAAAGGCGCCTTGTCTCTCCCACTTTTTTATCCGTCTTAGATTATGGTGACCTTTTTTATATGAATGCTACCTCTTGGTGTGTTGAAAAGCTGGACTCTATCATGCTTCCCTGAGGTTCATCACAAACTGTAGAGCTCTGACACTGTGAGCTGTACGCTCTCTGTCCACTAGGAGGCAGTGTCATTGGTACACCTTTATTTACAAGGCTGTTCTGGGACTCCTGACTTCTGTACATCACTCACACAGAGGAGCACAGAGTCTTATGCTCTGAGGTCCAATGAGCAGCTGTTACTGACTGTGCCTTTTGTCCTACAGCTCCTTCTGCTTGGAACATGCTCCAGCGAGACTGGAAACTGACCGAGCTTTTGTCGTTGAAGGCTCTTAAATCCAAACTTAGAGTTTTGGAGACGGCCTCAATCACCTGTAAATGTTTTACTTGATGTGTGTAGTCTGTACCTGTCATTTTTTAATGTCATTGTATCTCTCTGTTGTGTTTATGTGTAACTTAAGAAAAAGAGATTCTTAATCTCAATTGGATTTTTCCTGGTTAAATAAAGGTTGAATAAAAAAAATACACTGTACATGTATAGACAGTGCTAACCTGCTAGCTCAATGCTAACCCGCTAGCTCAAGGCTAACCCGCTGGCTCTCTCTCTGTGAGGACCACCCAGTCCTCTGGTCTCTGTGAGGACCACCCGGTCCTCTAGTCTCCGTGAGGAGCAGGGGTGATGTACTCTCTCCTGTCCCTGTGAGTCAGTGAGAGAGACCCCCTTCAGAACATGTGACTGCAACACAACTGTATGCTAGTCCTCATTGTTTGTCTGGTTCCTCCTCCTCCTCTTCCTCCTCTGGCTTCTCCTCTTCTGCTTCTCCTCAGGCTGCTCCTCCGTGGGCTCCTGCTCCCGTCTGTACCTGGCAGTGCCCTCCCTCCCCTCCTGCCTCCTCCCCTCCCTCCTTCTGGTCTCCTGGTCTCTCTCTCTGCCTCCTGCTGGGACGGTGGAACTGGGTTGTTCGAGCGGGACGCTGAGGCGCGAGCTCCCAGGCCAGCTCTGCAACGACAGCCTCACCATCTCCCTCCACGAGCACGACAAGGGCCACGGCGAGGGCCACGGCGATGGCGAGGGCCACGGCGAGGGCCACAGCAACATCGGGACGTTCTGCCGCGGAGGATCCATCACCAAACTGCAGATCCATAACAACATCTCCATCGCCATCAGAGGGAGAGGAGCACTGCAGCCAGGGGACGTCCTGACTGCCCGAGTCAAGGACGAGATCACAGGTACAATATCACAGAGACGAGATCACGGGGACGAGATCAGAGGGACGAGATCACACAAGGCAGGGGCTGAGCCTGTTTATCAGGGGTCAGAGAGAGACCAGAGAGAGAGACCAGAGAGAGACCAGAGAGAGACCAGAGAGAGAGACCAGAGAGAGAGACCAGAGAGAGAGACCAGAGAGAGACCAGAGAGAGAGACCAGAGAGAGAGACCAGAGAGAGAGACCAGAGAGAGAGACCAGAGAGAGAGACCAGAGAGAGAGACCAGAGAGAGAGTGACCAAAGTGAGAGAGACCAGAGAGAGAGAGACCAATAACCAGCTAACACCTTCCTGTGTCCCTCAGAGAGCTACATCGTCCGTGTGTCTCCGCAGCGACAGCGCCCCCTGGTGCTGGCCACGCCCGGCTGGCCTGCGGGCATGAGAGCGGACTCTACGCTGTCCTGGATCGTCAGCGTCCCGCCCAAGATGGAGGCGTGGCTACAGTTCTCCGACCTGCGACAGCCCAAGTGCTCCCACCGCCACACCGCCATCCGCATCCGGCGCCTGGACCGACAGGAGGAGGAGTTCAGCCGCAGGGAGGACGAGGAGGTGTTGGAGGAGGTCCGAGTCTCCTCCTCCTTCTTCCTCAACATGTCCAACTGTCTGCCAGAGAATGGGGTCTTCAGGGTCCTGACCCGGGTCACTCTGAGGAGGGGTACGTGTGGACTCTGACCCCTGACCTCTGACTCTGACCCCTGACTCTGACCCCTGATTCTGACCTCTGACTCTGACCTCTGACTCTGACCCCTGACTCTGACCTCTGACTCTGACCCCTGACTCCTGACTCTGACCCCTGACTCTGACTCCTGACTCTGACCCCTGACTCGGACTACTGACTCTGACCTCTGACCCCTGACTCTGACCCCTGACTTCTGACTCTGACCTCTGACCCCTGACCCCTGTTCTTTAGACCAGACTCTGATCATCGTGGTCAGTTCTGTGGCGGCGCTGCTGCTGGTTTTCATCCTGATCCTGATCGTGGTTTGTTTAGTGACAAGGTGAGTCCTCTGTTCCTCTGGTTCCTGTAACCTCTGGTTCCTCAGTTCCTCTAACCTCTGGTTCTCACAGACAGAAGAAGACGGTTCCTCAGACGTCCATCTACAGCAGCTTCCTGCAGAACCCTGTGAGGTCTGAGGAGGAGCACGTCTACGAGGACATCGAGGACACGCTGGTTTACTCCCACCTGCTGCGGAAAGGAGAGACCCTGGGGACGCATGGGGAGTTCCAGGAGAACCAGGGGAACCAGGAGAACCAAGAGTTCCAGGAGAACCAGGAGAACCAGGCCGAGGTCTGCTCGTACCAGGACTTTGTGCAGGAGCAGAAGCCTGAGCTGCCGCAGAGGCCCCAGAGTCACACACTACACATGGAGGAGAACCTCCTGTACGAGATCAAGAAAGGAGAGAGAATGGAGGAGGAGGAGGAGGAGGGGGAGGAGAAGGAGGAGGGGGAGGAGGAGGGGTAGTAGGATGAGGAGGAGGGGTAGGAGGGCAAGGAGGAGGAGAGGGGGGAGGGGGGAGGAGGAGGAGAGGGAGGATGAGGAGGGGTAGGAGGAGGAGTAGGAGGGGTAGGAGGAGGAGGAGGAGTAGGAGGGGTAGTAGGACGAGGAGGAGGAGAGGGAGGAGGAGGAGGGGGAGGAGGAGAAAGAGGAGGAGGAGGCCACAGCATGAGAACGTTGTTTCGTAGAGACCCTAAACCAGAGAAGTTACTTTTTAATACAGCCCAAAATCCTGCATTACTTTGATCTGGTCCCACAGTTCCCGGGTTCTCCAGCAGGGGGCGCTCTGACCATTGTGCTCATAAGTATATGCTAGCTCTGGGTGACATTAGCATATGCTACCTCCTACTTTTCTAGTAGGTGCCTCCTCCATCTGCACCTGCGGACTGTCCTTGGTCCTCGTTCTACAGTCTGAGTCCTGGGTCTACAGTCTCAGTCCTCGTTCTACAGTCTGAGTCCTGGGTCTAAAGTCTCAGTCCTCGTTCTACAGTCTGAGTCCTGGGTCTAAAGTCTCAGTCCTCGTTCTACAGTCTGAGTCCTGGGTCTAAAGTCTCAGTCCTCGTTCTACAGTCTGAGTCCTGGATCCAGGACACTATACATGTTCCAATACCATGTGGTCTCTCCCTCTGGACCAATACCATATGGTGTCTCTCTATGGTCCAATACCATGTGGTCTCTCTCTATGGTCCAATACCATGTGGTCTCTCTCTATGGACCAATACCATGTGGCCTCTCTCTATGGACCAATACCATGTGGTCTCTCTCTATGGACCAATACCATGTGGCCTCTCCCTATGGACCATTACCATGTGGTCTCTCTATGGACCAATACCATGTGGTCTCTCTCTATGGTCCAATACCAAGTGGTCTCTCTCTATGGACCAATACCATGTGGCCTCTCCCTATGGTCCAATACCATGTGGTCTCTCTATGGACCAGTACCATGTGGTCTCTCTCTATGGTCCAATACCATGTGGTCTCTCTCTATGGACCAATACCATGTGGTCTCTCTCTATGGACCAATACCATGTGGTCTCTCTCTATGAACCAATACCATGTGGTCTCTCTCTATGGTCCAATACCATGTGGTCTCTCTCTATGGACCAATACCATGTGGTCTCTCTCTATGGACCAATACTATGTGGTCTCTCCCTATGGTCCAGTACCATGTGGTCTCTCTGTGTTCAAACTGTTGTGATCCAGGGAAATGCAATAAACTGAAAATGTGTTGTCTAAAAGTCTCTTTTTTTTTCGAGTTGTATCTAATTTTATCAGGCTCCGCCCCTGTAGTAAGGCTCCGCCCCTGTAATCAGGCTCCGCCCCTGTAGTCAGGCTCCGCCCCTGTAGTCAGTCTCCGCCCCTGTAATCAGGCTCCGCCCCTGTAGTCTTACTCCGCCCCTGTAGTCAGGCTCCGCCCCTGTAGTCTGACTCCGCCTCTGTAGTCAAACTCCGCCCCTTTAGTCAGGCTCCGCCCCTGTAGTTTGACTCCGCCTCTGTAGTCAGACTCCGCCCCTGTAGTCAGACTCCGCCTCTGTAGTCAGACTCCGCCCCTGTAGTCAGACTCCGCCCTTATAGTCAGACTCCGCCCCTGTAGTCTGACTCCGCCCCTGTAGTCTGACTCCGCCCCTGTAGTCTGACTCCGCCTCTGTAGTCAGACTCCGCCCCTGTAGTCAGACTCCGCCCCTATAGTCAGACTCCGCCCCTGTTGTCAGACTCCGCCTCTGTAGTCAGGCTCCGCCCCTGTAGTCAGACTCCGCTCCTGTAGTCAGACTCCGCCCCTGTAGTCAGACTCCGCCCCTGTAGTCAGACTCCGCCCCTATAGTCAGACTCCGCCCCTATAGTCAGACTCCGCCCCTGTTGTCAGACTCCGCCTCTGTAGTCAGGCTCCGCCCCTGTAGTCAGACTCCGCTTCTGTAGTCAGACTCCGCCCCTGTAGTCTGACTCCGCTCCTGTAGTCAGACCCCGCCCCTGTAGTCTGACTCCGCCCCTGTAGTCTGACTCCGCCCCTGTAGTCTGACTCCGCCTCTGTAGTCAGGCTCCGCCCCTGTAGTCAGACCCCGCCCCTATAGTCAGACTCCGCCCCTGTAGTCTGACTCCGCCTCTGTAGTCTGACTCCGCCCCTGTAGACTGACTCCACTCTTTTTGCAGTAAATAAATAAATAAAAGTTGCAATAATATATTATTTTCTGAAAAACTTTCTGAAAAATTATAAATCAAATTTGTGTATGACACAACATCATGAATGCATACATGCTAATGCTAGTGGGTTAGCATTGACATTATGCTAACCCACAGGGCCTTCTCTGTGGCTGGACCAAAGCTGTGGAATCCCCCCCCCCCTCTGCCAACCTCCCCCTCTCACCTGCACATTGACTATTTCAACCTCTGTTCCTGAACCAGGTCTGAACCAGGACTGAACCAGGTCTGAACCAGGACTGAACCAGGTCTGAACCAGGACTGAACCAGGACTGAACCAGGACTGAACCAGGACTGAACCAGGACTGAACCAGGACTGAACCAGGACTGAACCAGGTCTGAACCAGGTCTGAACCAGGACTGAACCAGGACTGAACCAGGACTGAACCAGGACTGAACCAGGACTGAACCAGGTCTGAACCAGGACTGAACCAGGTCTGAACCAGGACTGAACCAGGTCTGAACCAGGACTGAACCAGGACTGAACCAGGACTGAACCAGGTCTGAACCAGGTCTGAACCAGGACTGAACCAGGACTGAACCAGGTCTGAACCAGGACAGAACCAGGACTGAACCAGGTCTGAACCAGGACTGAACCAGGACTGAACCAGGTCTGAACCAGGACTGAACCAGGACTGAACCAGGACTGAACCAGGACTGAACCAGGACGACTGAAAACAAAATTTTACAAAATATTTACAAATGTTTATTTCCACAGCAGCTGTTACAACAGGTGTTTGAAAATGATCAAATAAATACATGAACTTCTCCTTTTGCTGGTGGCAAAGGGAATTATAGGTCTGGACCAGGTCTGGACCAGGTCTACGGCATAATAATCATTTATATGAAACATATGTACAAAAACAGCAGTTTGAGAAATAGATTTGGTTCCAATTCCTCTCCATCATGTAAGAACCAGGACTGGACCTGGTCTGGATCAGGACACGGTCTGGATCAGGACACGGTCTGGATCAGGACCCGGTCTGGATCTGGACCCGGTCTGGAGGTCTCAGATTTGGGCTCCGGTGTGGGACTTGACCAGGCCCTGCTCCTTCCTCATCACGGGGGCGTAGATGCTGCAGTCTCGGGCCTCACAGATGCCTGGGACCCCTGAGACCCCCACAGGACCCGTGGCCCCCCCAGGACCAGGAAACCCTCTGGACCCTCGTGGACCCTCTGCTCCCTCCTCAGCCTCAGCGGCGTGTCCGGGTTCACCTGCAACAAGGTTAAAGCTCAGGTCTGTAACTTTCAGACTTTAACAGGGTTAGGGAGGTGAGGGAGGCGAGGGGGGTGAGGGAGGTGAGGGAGGCGAGGGGGGTGAGGGAGGAGAGGGAGGAAAGGGAGGTGAGGGGGGTGAGGGAGACGAAGGACAAAAGGGAGAGAGAGAGAGATGAGGGAGAGGGAGAGAGAGATGAGTGAGAGAGAGAGAGACCTATTGAATGAACAGTTGATTGTTGCAGTTTAGAAGAAATGTTTTTAGACCAAACGTGCTCTGTACAGACAGAGCCCCATTCAGGCTGTTGTTGCTCAGTGTAAATAGAGTTTGTTGTTGCTCAGTGTAAATAGAGTTTGTTGTTGCTCAGTGTAAATAGAGAGTTACCTCTGAGTCCCTGTGGTCCGTCTGCTCCGCTCAGACCTGCACCAGGATCTCCACTCGCTCCTTTGGCTCCTTTAGAACCTGAAACAGAACACTGCTAATGAACTCATGTGGACCCTCCTGGACCCTCCTGGACCCTCCTGAACCCTCCTGAACCCTGCTGGACCCTCCTGGACCCTTCTGGACCCTCCTGGACGCTCCTGGACCCTGCTGGACCCTCCTGGACGCTCCTGAACCCTTCTTAACCTTGCTGGACCCTCCTGGACCCTGCTGGACCCTCCTGAACCCTCCTGGACCCTGCTGGACCCCGCTGAACCCTGCTGGACCCTCCTGGACCCCCCTGGACCCTGCTGGACCCTCCTGGACCCTGCTGGACCCTGCTGGACCCTACTGGACCCATCTCAGTCTGGTACCTGCTTCCCCGGTCGTTCCCGTCTGACCCTCCAGGCCTCTGACGCCCTGAGATCCTCTGGTTCCTTTGGCTCCGGCTTTTCCTGGTTTACCCTGCAACACACAAGAAATTGGTCCCTCTCTGGTCTCTCTCTGGTCACTCTCTGGTCTCTCTCTCTGGTCTCTCTCTGGTCTCTCTCTCTGGTCTCTGGTCTATCTCTGGTCTCTCTCTGTGGTCTGACTCTGTGGTCTCTCTCTGGTCTCTCTCTGGTCTCTCTCTCTGGTCTCTGGTCTATCTCTGGTCTCTCTCTGGTCTCTCTCTCTGGTCTCTCTCTATGGTCTCTCTCACTGGTCTCTCTCTGGTCTCTTTCTCTGGTCTCTCTCTGGTCTTTCTCTGGTCTCTCTCTGGTCTTTCTCTGGTCTCTCTCTGGTCTTTCTCTGGTCTCTCTCTGACCTGTTTCCCGGTGGTCCCTGAGGGTCCTGTAGGTCCTGGAGGTCCAATGAGAGTGCGGTTGTTGATGGGACAGCCCTGGGAGCACTTGGCCCGGATCGGAGCAGCGTACTGGGCCATCTGCGCCTGCACCACCGCCCTACACAGCTGCAGGACCTGCTCCTCTGAGAGAGCGGGACCCTGAGGGACACATGGTTAGACACCAGAGACCAGAGAGAGACCAGAGAGAGACCAGAGAGAGACCAGAGAGAGACCAGAGAGAGACTAGAGATAAACCAGAGAGAGAGAACAGAGAGAGACCAGAGAGAGACCAGAGAGAGAGACCAGAGAGAGACCAGTGAGAGACCAGAGAGAGACTAGAGATAAACCAGAGAGAGAGACCAGAGAGGGACCAGAGAGAGAGACCAGAGAGAGAGACCAGAGAGAGACCCTAGCTCTTTTACTCACCGCAGCTCCGAGCAGACCCTTGGGTCCTGGTCTCCCTGATGGTCCCAGGTCTCCGCTGGGGCCTCTCTCTCCTCTGGAACCAGGGATCCCTGGGGGCCCTAAGGGACCAGCAGAGCCGGCAGGTCCTGCTGTACTTTTAGGCCCACGCTGAAACAGGGATTACTGCTGTCAGAGTGACCTTTGAACCTTTGACCATGAACCACACAATGTAGGAAAGATGCACATTTCAGAGCCACAAATAAAGACAGGCCCCTCAGGGCCTTTGTGGAGGCTAACTAGCTTACTGCTAAGTAGCTTCCTGCTAAAAAGTTTCCTGCTAACTATCTTACTGCTAACTAGCTACCTGCTAACTAGCTTCTTGCTAACTATGTCACTCCCGTATTTGTCCCGGAAACCGGATTCGTCCGGAAGTTCAGTTTGATCCAATGAGCACACGCAGCAGTAGATTACGTCACGGAATCTGGACGGAAGCGTAAGTAAATAAAACAAACTACCTATTCATGCCTAAACTCCCATAAAATAACCCCAACCCGGCCTTAACCCTAACCTTAACCATCTTAATCAGACGCCTAAACTTAACCAGTCTCCACTTAAGGACTTATTACACTTTTTGACATGCGCAAACTGAACTTCCGGACAAATCCGGTTTCCGGGACGAATACGGGAGTGACAACTATCTTCCTGTAAACTAATTTCCTGCTAATTATTGTCCTGGTGAATAGCTTCCTGTTAACTAGCTTCCTGCTAACTAGCTTCCTGTTGACTAGCTTCCTACTGACTAGCTTACCGCTAATTATCTTCCTGCTAATTATCTTCCTGCTAATTATCTTCCTCCTAACTAGCTTCCTGCTAACTAGCTTCCTGTTAACTAGCTTCCCGCTAACTAGCTTCCTGTTAACTAGCTCACCGCTAATTATCTTCCTGCTAACTAGCTTCCTGCAAACTAGCTTCCTGCAAACTAGCTTCCTGCAAACTAGCTTCCTGCTAATTATCTTCCTGCTAATTATCTTCCTGCTAACTAGCTTCCTGCTAACTAGCCTCCTGCTAACTAGCTTCCTGTTAACTAGCTTCCTGCTAACTAGCTTCCTGTTAACTAGCTCACTGCTAATTATCTTCCTGCTAACTAGCTTCCTGCTAACTATCTTCTTGCTAACCAGCTTCCTGCAAACTAGCTTCCTGTTAACTAGCTTCCTGCTAACTAGCTTCCTGTTAACTAGCTTACCGCTAATTATCTTCCTGCTAATTATCTTCCTGCCAATTATCTTCCTGATAACTAGCTTCCTGCTAACTAGCTTCCTGCTAACTAGCTTCCTGTTAACTCGCTTCCTGCTAACTAGCTTCCTGTTAACCAGCTTCCTACTGACTAGCTTACCGCTAATTATCTTCCTGCTAATTATCTTCCTGCTAATTATCTTCCTCCTAACTAGCTTCCTCCTAACTAGCTTCCTGTTAACTAGCTTCCTGTTAACCCTCCATAAGTCCTTCCATAATAAAGTATGTAGCAACCTTTCAGTTTTTAATGTTTTCCAAAAACAGCATCATGAAGGATGTTCCATCGCTCTGGTCTCTCTCTGGTCTCTCTGGTCTCTCTCTGGTCTCGCTCTGGTCTCTCTCTGGTCTCTCTCTGGTCTCTCTCTGGTCTCTCTCTGGTCTCTCTCTGGTCTCTCCCTCTGGTCTCTCCCTCTGGTCTCTCTCTGGTCTCTCTCTGGTCTCTCTCTGATCTCTCTCTCTGGTCTCTCTCTCTGGTCTCCCTCTGGTCTCTCTCTGGTCTCTCTCTGGTCTCTCCCTCTGGTCTCCCTCTGGTCTCTCTCTGGTCTCTCTCTGGTCTCTCTCTGGTCTCTCTCTGGTATCTCTCTGGTCTCTCTCTGGTCTCTCTCTGGTCTCTCTCTGGTCTCTCTCTGGTCTCCCTCTCTGGTCTCCCTCTCTGGTCTCCCTCTGGAATCTCTCTGGTCTTTCTCTGGTCTCCCTCTGGTCTCCCTCTGTTCTCTCTCTCTGGTCTCTCTCTGGTCTCTCCCTCTGGTCTCCCTCTGGTCTCTCCCTCTGGTCTCTCTCTGGTCTCTCTCTGGTCTCTCTCTGGTCTCCCTCTGATCTCTCCCTCTGGTCTCTCTCTGGTCTCTCTCTGGTCTCCCTCTGATCTCTCCCTCTGGTCTCTCTCTGGCCTCCCTCTGGTCCCTCTCTGGTCTCTCTCTCTGGTCTCTCTCTCTGGTCTCTCTCTGGTCTCCCTCTGATCTCTCCCTCTGGTCTCTCTCTGGTCTCTCTCTGGTCTCTCTCTGGTCCCTCTCTGGTCTCCCTCTGGTCCCTCTCTGGTCTCCCTCTGATCTCTCCCTCTGGTCTCTCTCTCTGGTCTCTCTCTGGTCTCCCTCTGGTCCCTCTCTGGTCTCCCTCTGATCTCTCCCTCTGGTCTCTCTCTGGTCTCCCTCTGGTCCCTCTCTGGTCTCCCTCTGATCTCTCCCTCTGGTCTCTCTCTGGTCTCTCTCTGGTCTCTCTCTGGTCTCTCTCTGGTCTCTCTCTGGTCTCTCTCTCTGGTCTCTCTCTCTGGTCTCCCTCTGGTCTCCCTCTGGTCTCTCGCTCTGGTCTCTCGCTCTGGTCTCCCTCTGGTCTCCCTCTGGTCTCTCTCTGGTCTCTCTCTGATCTCTCTCTCTGGTCTCTCTCTCTGGTCTCCCTCTGGTCTCTCTCTGGTCTCTCTCTGGTCTCTCCCTCTGGTCTCCCTCTGGTCTCTCCCTCTGGTCTCTCTCTGGTCTCTCTCTGGTCTCTCTCTGGTCTCTCTCTGGTATCTCTCTGGTCTCTCTCCGGTCTCTCTCTGGTCTCCCTCTCTGGTCTCCCTCTCTGGTCTCCCTCTGGAATCTCTCTGGTCTTTCTCTGGTCTCCCTCTGGTCTCCCTCTGTTCTCTCTCTCTGGTCTCTCTCTGGTCTCTCCCTCTGGTCTCCCTCTGGTCTCTCCCTCTGGTCTCTCTCTGGTCTCTCTCTGGTCTCTCTCTGGTCTCCCTCTGATCTCTCCCTCTGGTCTCTCTCTGGTCTCTCTCTGGTCTCCCTCTGATCTCTCCCTCTGGTCTCTCTCTGGCCTCCCTCTGGTCCCTCTCTGGTCTCTCTCTCTGGTCTCTCTCTCTGGTCTCTCTCTGGTCTCCCTCTGATCTCTCCCTCTGGTCTCTCTCTGGTCTCTCTCTGGTCTCTCTCTGGTCCCTCTCTGGTCTCCCTCTGGTCCCTCTCTGGTCTCCCTCTGATCTCTCCCTCTGGTCTCTCTCTCTGGTCTCTCTCTCTGGTCTCTCTCTGGTCTCCCTCTGGTCCCTCTCTGGTCTCCCTCTGATCTCTCCCTCTGGTCTCTCTCTGGTCTCTCTCTGGTCTCTCTCTGGTCTCTCTCTGGTCTCTCTCTGGTCTCCCTCTGATCTCTCCCTCTGGTCTCTGGTCTCTCTCTGGTCCCTCTCTGGTCTCCCTCTGATCTCTCCCTCTGGTCTCGCTCTGGTCCCTGGTTGTCGTGTCTTACTTGTCCTTTGTCTCCATGGTTCCCTCTTTCTCCCTAAAAGTAAAAGAAGAAGAATATATAAGATAAGTTATATCTTTATATAAAACAACAAATAGAGAAACTAGGGCTGTCAAACGATTAAAAGTTTTAATCAAATTTAAATATTAATTAATCGTAATTAATCACATTTTAAACTATCATCAAAATGAGGCCATATTTTTGGTTGTTTGAATGGAGATGACAGTGCAAATATGTACAGTATTAGTTTATCATAACAATAAATCCATATGAAATGACAGGAGGACCGCGGCTGCCAAAACAATACATATTTACATAAATGCTGTCCAGAGGAACCTGCTGTCCAGAGGACCTGCTGTCCAGAGGACCCTCTGTCCAGAGGACCTGCTGTCCAGAGGACCCTCTGTCCAGAGGACCTGCTATCCAGAGGACCCTCTGTCCAGAGGACCTGCTGTCCAGAGGGACCCTCTGTCCAGAGGACCTGCTGTCCAGAGGGACCCTCTGTCCAGAGGAATCTCTGTCCAGAGGCAGCTCAGCTCAGAGTTCATACAGGAGGAAACTCGTGTTTCTTTTAAAACGTGGATTCCCAGAGACCTGCTCTGTCTCCGTCTCACACACATGTGTCCGTGGCATTCTGAGTGTTATTATGGGATACATGGGCATGCGTTAATATATATATATATATATATACATACAGTATACGTATACATATATTGTAAGTAAAGTAAAGTAACCTTTTCTCCTTTGACTCCTTTGACTCCTTTTCTCCCAATCGCTCCCTGTTTTCAACAACAACAAAGATTAGTAAAATAAAGACCAGAGAGAGACCAGAGAGAGAGAGAGACCAGAGAGACACCAGAGGGACACCAGAGAGAGACCAGAGAGAGAGACCAGAGAGGGACCAGAGAGAGAGACGAGAGAGGGACCAGAGAGAGACCAGAGAGAGACCAGAGACACCAGAGAGAGACTAGAGAGAGACCAGAGAGAGACCAGAGAGAGAGACCAGAGAGAGACCAGAGAGGGACCAGAGAGAGACCAGAGAGAGACCAGAGAGAGACCAGAGAGAGACCAGAGAGAGACTTGGATTCTTGGATACTTTAATAATGAGATAAATAAATAATGTCAATGTTTTTCACCTTTTCACCGTCAGGCCCCACTTCTCCTTTGGAGCCCTGAGACACATGTTATAGATGAGAAGTGTGTGACATCACAGTATGAGACACACACATACACACACACATCACAGTATGAGACACACACACATCACAGTATGAGACACACACACACATCACAGTATGAGATACACACACACACATCACAGTTTGAGACACACACACACACACCCACACATAGAATGAGACACACCACAGTATGAGACACACACACCACGGTGTGAGACACACACCACAGTATGAGACACACACCACAGTATAAGACACACACACACCACAGTATATGAGACATACACACCACAGTATGAGACACACACCACAGTATAAGACACACAAACACCACAGTATGAGACATACACACCACAGTATGAGACATACACACCACAGTATGAGATACACACACAGCACAGTATGAGACACACACACCACGGTGTGAGACACACACCACAGTGTGAGACACACACCACAGTATGAGACACACACACCACAGTATGAGACACACACCACAGTATGAGACACACACACCCCACAGTATGAGACACACACAACACAGTATGAGACACACACACACACAGTATGAGGCACTCACACAACACAGTATAAGACACACACCACAGTATGAGACACACAACACAGTGTGAGACATTACTCTGACACTTCAGTGTGTGACATCACTCACCACGGACCCCTGCAGACCTCTGGGACCAGGCTTCCCATGTTCTCCTGGGTCTCCTGCTTCTCCTCCCCCTCCCTGAGGAACATGAGGAACATGAAGAACATGAGGAACATGAAGAACATGAGGAACATGAAGAACATGAAGAACATGAAGAACACGAGGAACATGAAGAACATGAAGAACATGAGGAACATGAAGAACATGAGGAACATGAAGAACATGAGGAACATGAAGAACATGAGGAACATGAAGAACATGAAGAACATGAGGAACATGAAGAACATGAGGAACATGAAGAACATGAGGAACATGAAGAACATGAAGAACATGAGGAACATGAAGAACATGAGGAACATGAAGAACATGAAGAACACGAGGAACATGAAGAACATGAGGAACATGAAGAACATGAGGAACATGAGGAACATGAAGAACATGAGGAACATGAAGAACATGAGGAACATGAAGAACATGAGGAACATGAAGAACATGAAGAACATGAAGAACATGAGGAACATGAAGAACATGAAGAACATGAAGAACATGAGGAACATGAGGAACATGAAGAACATGCGGAACATGAAGAACACGAGGACCATGAAGAACATGAGTAAGAACATGAAGAACATGAGGAACATGAAGAACATGAGGAACATGAAGAACATGACATGAAGAACATGAGGAACATGAAGAACATGAGGAACATGAGAACATGAAGAACATAGGGAAAGGAACATGAGAAACATGAAGAACATGAGGGAACATGAGGAACATGAAGAACATGAAAAGAACATGAAGAACATGAGGAACATGAGGAACATGAAGAACATGAGGAACATGCAGAACATGAAGAACATGAAGAACATGAGGAACATGAAGAACATGAAGAACATGAAGAACATGAGGAACATGAGGAACATGAAGAACATGAGGAACATGAAGAACATGAAGAACATGAGGAACATGAAGAACATGAGGAACATGAAGAAAACATGAAGAACATGAAGAACATGAAGAACATGAGGAACATGAAGAACATGAGGAACATGAAGAAACATGAGAACATGAAGAACATGAAGAACATGAAGAACATGAGGAACATGATGAACATGAAGAACATGAGGAACATGAGGAACATGAAGAACATGAGGAACATGAAGAACATGAGGAACATGAAGAACATGAAGAACATGAAGAACATGAGGAACATGAAGAACATGAGGAACATGAAGAACATGAGGAACATGAAGAACATGAAGAACATGAGGAACATGATGAACATGAAGGAACATGAGGAACATGAAGAACATGAGGAACATGAAGAACATGAGGAACATGAAGAACATGAGAACATGAGAACATGAGAACATGAGGAACATGAAGAACATGAGGAACATGAAGAACATGAATAACATGAAGAACATGAAGAACATGAAGAACATGAGGAACATGATGAACATGAAGAACATGAGGAACATGAGGAACATGAAGAACATGAGGAACATGAAGAACATGAGGAACATGAAGAACATGAAGAACATGAAGAACATGAGGAACATGAAGAACATGAGGAACATGAAGAACATGAGGAACATGAAGAACATGAAGAACATGAGGAACATGAGGAACATGAGGAACATGAGGAACATGAAGAACATGAAGAACATGAAGAACATGAGGAACATGAAGAACATGAAGAACATGAAGAACATGAGGAACATGAGGAACATGAAGAACATGAGGAACATGAGGAACATGAGGAACATGAAGAACATGAGGAACATGAAGAACATGAGGAACATGAAGAACATGAAGAACATGAGGAACATGAAGAACATGAAGAACATGAAGAACATGAGGAACATGAGGAACATGAAGAACATGAGGAACATGAAGAACATGAAGAACATGAAGAACATGAAGAACATGAAGAACATGAGGAACATGAGGAACATGAAGAACATGAGGAACATGAGGAACATGAGGAACATGAAGAACATGAAGAACATGAGGAACATGAAGAACATGAAGAACATGAGGAACATGAGGAACATGAAGAACATGAGGAACATGAAGAACATGAGGAACATGAGAGAACATGAAGAACATGAAGAACATGAGAACATGAAGAACATGAGGAACATGAAGAACATGAGGAACATGAAGAACATGAAGAACATGAGGAACATGAGAACATGAAGAACATGAGGAACATGAGGAACATGAAGAACATGAGGAACATGAAGAACATGAAGAACATGAGGAACATGAAGAACATGAAGAACATGAAGAACATGAGGAACATGAAGAACATGAGGAACATGAAGAACATGAATAACATGAAGAACATGAAGAACATGAGGAACATGATGAACATGAAGAACATGAGGAACATGAGGAACATGAAGAACATGAGGAACATGAAGAACATGAGGAACATGAAGAACATGAAGAACATGAAGAACATGAGGAACATGAAGAACATGAGGAACATGAAGAACATGAAGAACATGAAGAACATGAAGAACATGAGGAACATGAGGAACATGAGGAACATGAGGAACATGAAGAACATGAAGAACATGAAGAACATGAGGAACATGAAGAACATGAAGAACATGAGGAACATGAGGAACATGAAGAACATGAGGAACATGAGGAACATGAAGAACATGAAGAACATGAGGAACATGAAGAACATGAAGAACATGAAGAACATGAGGAACATGAGGAACATGAGGAACATGAAGAACATGAAGAACATGAGGAACATGAAGAACATGAGGAACATGAAGGAACATGAGGAACATGAAGAACATGAGGAACATGAGGAACATGAAGAACATGAGGAACATGAAGAACATGAGAACATGAAGAACATGAGGAACATGAGGAACATGAAGAACATGAAGGAAACATGAAGAACATGAGGAACATGAAGAACATGAAGAACATGAGGAACATGAGGAACATGAAGAACATGAGGAACATGAAGAACATGAAGAACATGAGGAACATGAAGAACATGAAGAACATGAGGAACATGAAGAACATGAGGAACATGAGGAACATGAGGAACATGAAGAACATGAGGAACATGAGGAACATGAGGAACATGAAGAACATGAAGAACATGAAGAACAAGAGGAACATGAGGACCATGAGGAACATGAGGAACATGAGGAACATGAAGAACATGAGGAACATGAAGAACATGAAGAACATGAGGAACATGAAGAACATGAGGAACATGAAGAACATGAGGAACATGAGGAACATGAAGAACATGAGGAACATGAAGAACATGAGGAACATGAGGAACATGAGGAACATGAAGAACATGAGGAACATGAAGAACATGAGGAACATGAAGAACATGAAGAACATGAAGAACATGAAGAACATGAGGAACATGAGGAACATGAGGAACATGAGGAACATGAAGAACATGAAGAACATGAAGAACATGAGGAACATGAAGAACATGAAGAACATGAAGAACATGAGGAACATGAGGAACATGAAGAACATGAGGAACATGAGGAACATGAAGAACATGAAGAACATGAGGAACATGAAGAACATGAAGAACATGAAGAACATGAAGAACATGAGGAACATGAGGAACATGAAGAACATGAGGAACATGAGGAACATGAGGAACATGAGGAACATGAAGAACATGAAGAACATGAGGAACATGAGGAACATGAGGAACATGAGGAACATGAGGAACATGAGGAACATGAAGAACATGAGGAACATGAGGAACATGAGGAACATGAAGAACATGAAGAACATGAAGAACATGAGGAACATGAGGAACATGAAGAACATGAAGAACATGAGAACATGAGGAACATGAAGAACATGAGGAACATGAAGGAACATGAGAACATGAAGAACATGAGGAACATGAGGAACATGAAGAACATGAGGAACATGAAGAACATGAGGAACATGAAGAACATGAGGAACATGAGAACATGAGAACATGAAGAACATGAGGAACATGAGGAACATGAAGAACATGAAGAACATGAAGAACATGAAGAACATGAGGAACATGAGGAACATGAAGAACATGAGGAACATGAAGGAACATGAGGAACATGAAGAACATGAGGAACATGAGGAACATGAGGAACATGAGGAACATGAGGAACATGAGGAACATGAAGAACATGAGGAACATGAAGAACATGAAGAACATGAGGAACATGAAGAACATAGATGAGGAACATGAAGAACATGAGGAACATGAGGAACATGAAGAACATGAGGAACATGAAGAACATGAGGAACATGAGGAACATGAGGAACATGAAGAACATGAGGAACATGAAGAACATGAGGAACATGAAGAACATGAGGAACATGAGGAACATGAAGAACATGAGGAACATGAGGAACATGAAGAACATGAGGAACATGAAGAACATGAAGAACATGAGGAACTTGAGGAACATGAAGAACATGAGGAACATGAAGAACATGAGGAACATGAAGAACATGAGGACCATGAGGAACATGAGGAACATGAAGAACATGAGGAACATGAGGAACATGAAGAACATGAGAACATGAAGAACATGAAGAACATGAGGAACATGAAGAACATGAAGAACATGAGGAACATGAAGAACATGAGGAACATGAAGAACATGAGGAACATGAGGAACATGAGGAACATGAAGAACATTAGGAACTCACCATGGCTCCCTCTCTCCCTCTGCGGCCCCTCACTCCACCATCGCCTTTGGACCCCTGCAGAGAAACTCAGAGATCAGTCTGTGTGTGTGTGTGTGTGTCTTTGTGTCTATGTGTGTTTGTGTGTGTTACCTTTGGTCCGAAGGTTCCAGGCTCTCCCATGAGCCCCGGGACTCCTAAGGGGCCCTGAATACAGGCACACACATTAAACCAGAGAGAGAGAGACCAGAGAGAGACCAGCGAGAGAGACCAGAGAGAGAGACCAGAGAAAGCTACCAGACAGAGACCAGAGAGAGACCGGAGAGAGAGACCAGAGAGAGAGACCAGAGAGAGATACCAGAGAGGACTGTTCTCACATCTTCCCCTGGGTCACCGTCGCTTCCTGGTAAACCGCCGCTGCCCCTAGTGCCCTGGATCAAAACAAACGGGTACAGAGACACGGGTACAGAGACACGGGTACAGAGACACGGGTACAGAGACACGGGTACAGAGACACACAGGACACGGGTACAGAGACACAGGTACAGAGACACAGGTACAGAGACACAGGTACAGAGACACAGGGACAGAGTCACAGGGACACGGGTTCAGAGACACGGGTTCAGAGACACAGGGACAGAGACACAGGGACAGAGACACAGGGACAGAGACACAGGGACAGAGACACAGGGACAGAGACACAGGGACAGAGACACAGGGACAGAGACACAGGTACAGAGACACAGGTACAGAGACACAGGTACAGAGACACAGGTACAGAGACACAGGGACAGAGACACAGGGACAGAGACACAGGGACAGAGACACAGGGACAGAGACACAGGGACAGAGACACAGGGACAGAGACACAGGGACAGAGACACAGGGACAGAGACACAGGGACAGAGACACAGGTACAGAGACACAGGGACACGGGTACAGAGACACGGGTACAGAGACACGGGTACAGAGACACGGGTACAGAGACACGGGTACAGAGACACGGGTACAGAGACACGGGTACAGAGACACGGGGTACAGAGACACGGGTACAGAGACACGGGTACAGAGACACGGGTACAGAGACACAGGTACAGAGACACAGGTACAGAGACACAGGGACAGAGTCACAGGGACACGGGTTCAGAGACACGGGTTCAGAGACACGGGGACAGAGACACAGGGACAGAGACACAGGGACAGAGACACAGGGACAGAGACACAGGGACAGAGACACAGGGACAGAGACACAGGGACAGAGACACAGGGACAGAGACACAGGGACAGAGACACAGGGACAGAGACACAGGTACAGAGTCACAGGGACACGGGTACAGAGACACAGGTACAGAGACACAGGTACAGAGACACCGGGACACAGGTACAGAGACACAGGTACAGAGACATAGGTACAGAGACATAGGTACAGAGACATAGGTACAGAGACATAGGTACAGAGACACAGGTACAGAGACACAGGTACAGAGACACAGGGACAGAGACACAGGGACAGAGTCACAGGGACACGGGTTCAGAGACACAGGTACAGAGACACAGGTACAGAGACACAGGTACAGAGACACAGGTACAGAGACACAGGTACAGAGACACAGGTACAGAGACACAGGTACAGAGACACAGGTACAGAGACACAGGGACAGAGACACAGGGACAGAGTCACAGGTACAGAGTCACAGGGACACGGGTTCAGAGACACAGGGACAGAGACACAGGGACAGAGACACAGGGACAGAGACACAGGGACAGAGACACAGGGACAGAGACACAGGGACAGAGACACAGGGACAGAGACACAGGGACAGAGTCACAGGGACACGGGTACAGAGACACGGGTACAGAGACACGGGTACAGAGACACGGGTACAGAGACACGGGTACAGAGACACGGGTACAGAGACACGGGTACAGAGACACGGGTACAGAGACACGGGTACAGAGACACGGGTACAGAGACACGGGTACAGAGACACGGGTACAGAGACACGGGTACAGAGCACGGGTACAGAGACACGGGTACAGAGACACGGGTACAGAGACACGGGTACAGAGACACGGGTACAGAGACACGGGTACAGAGACACGGGTACAGAGACACGGGTACAGAGACACGGGTACAGAGACACGGGTACAGAGACACGGGTACAGAGACACGGGTACAGAGACACGGGTACAGAGACACGGGTACAGAGACACGGGTACAGAGACACGGGTACAGAGACACGGGTACAGAGACACGGGTACAGAGACACGGGTACAGAGACACGGGTACAGAGACACGGGTACAGAGACACGGGTACAGAGACACGGGTACAGAGACACGGGTACAGAGACACGGGTACAGAGTCACAGGGACACGGGTTCAGAGACACGGGTTCAGAGACACGGGTTCAGAGACACAGGGACACAGGTACAGAGACACAGGTACAGAGACACAGGTACAGAGACACAGGTACACGGGTTCAGAGACACAGGGACAGAGACACAGGGACAGAGTCACAGGGACACGGGTACAGAGACACGGGTACAGAGACACGGGTACAGAGACACGGGTACAGAGACACGGGTACAGAGACACGGGTACAGAGACACGGGTACAGAGACACGGGTACAGAGACACGGGTACAGAGACACGGGTACAGAGACACGGGTACAGAGACACGGGTACAGAGACACGGGTACAGAGACACGGGTACAGAGACACGGGTACAGAGACACGGGTACAGAGTCACAGGGACACGGGTTCAGAGACACGGGTTCAGAGACACGGGTTCAGAGACACGGGTTCAGAGACACGGGTTCAGAGACACGGGTTCAGAGACACAGGGACACAGGTACAGAGACACAGGTACACGGGTTCAGAGACACAGGGACAGAGACACAGGGACAGAGTCACAGGGACACGGGTTCAGAGTCACAGGGACAGAGTCACAGGGACAGAGTCACAGGGACAGAGTCACAGGGACACGGGTACAGAGTCACAGGGACACGGGTACAGAGTCACAGGGACACGGGTACAGAGACACAGGGACAGAGTCACAGGGACACGGGTTCAGAGACACAGGTACAGAGACATAGGTACAGAGACATAGGTACAGAGACATAGGTACAGAGACACAGGTACAGAGACACAGGTACAGAGACACAGGGACAGAGACACAGGTACAGAGACACAGGGACAGAGTCACAGGTACAGAGTCACAGGGACACAGGTTCAGAGACACAGGGACAGAGACACAGGGACAGAGACACAGGGACAGAGACACAGGGACAGAGTCACAGGGACACGGGTACAGAGACACGGGTACAGAGACACGGGTACAGAGACACGGGTACAGAGACACGGGTACAGAGACACGGGTACAGAGACACGGGTACAGAGACACGGGTACAGAGACACGGGTACAGAGACACGGGTACAGAGACACGGGTACAGAGACACGGGTACAGAGACACGGGTACAGAGACACGGGTACAGAGACACGGGTACAGAGACACGGACACAGGGACAGAGACACAGGGACACGGGTTCAGAGACACAGGTACACGGGTTCAGAGACACAGGGACAGAGTCACAGGGACAGAGTCACAGAGACTACAAGAGAAGGAGAGAGACCTACAGGGCCAAGAACGTCCACATCACCAAGAAGTCCTACTCACAGGTACACAGGGACAGGGACAGGACATAGATACAGAGGACACAGGTACAGACATAGATACAGAGGACACAGGTACAGACATAGGTACAGAGGACACAGGTGCAGACACAGGACATAGATACAGAGGACACAGGTACAGAGGACACAGGTACAGACATAGGTACAGAGGACACAGGTACAGACATAGGTACAGAGGACACAGGTACATACACAGGACATAGGTACAGAGGACACAGGTACAGACATAGATACAGAGGACACAGGTACAGACATAGGTACAGATTACACAGGTACAGACACAGGACATAGATACAGAGGACACAGGTACAGACATAGGTACAGAGGACACAGGTACAGACACAGGACACAGGTACAGACATAGGTACAGAGGACACAGGTACAGACACAGGACATAGGTACAGAGGACACAGGTACAGACATAGATACAGAGGACACAGGTACAGACACAGGACATAGGTACAGAGGACACAGGTACAGACATAGATACAGAGGACACAGGTACAGACATAGATACAGATTACACAGGTACAGACATAGGTACAGATTACACAGGTACAGACATAGATACAGAGGACACAGGTACAGACAGAGACAGATTTGTTGTTGTTTTTCAGGTGATCCGAGACGTGATTAACGTGCACACAGAGGAGCTGAGGCGGCAGTGGGACCAGGGCCGAGACCAGGACCGAGACCAGGACCGAGACCTGGACCGAGACCTGGACCGAGACCAGGACCGAGACCTGGACCGAGACCAGGACCGAGACCGTAGCAGAGACCAGGGCCGAGACCAGGGCCGAGACCAGGGCCGAGACCAGGGCCGAGACCAGGGCCGAGACCAGGGCCGAGACCAGGGCCGAGACCAGGGCCGAGACCAGGGCCGAGACCAGGGCCGAGACCAGGGCCGAGACCAGGGCCGAGACCAGGGCCGAGACCAGGGCCGAGACCAGGGCCGAGACCAGGGCCGAGACCAGGGCCGAGACCAGGGCCGAGACCTGGGCCGAGACCACGGCCGAGACCACGGCCGAGACCTGGGCCGAGACCACGGCCGAGACCTGGGCCGAGACCACGGCCGAGACCTGGGCCGAGACCACGGCCGAGACCTGGGCCGAGACCACGGCCGAGACCTGGGCCGAGACCACGGCCGAGACCTGGGCCGAGACCACGGCCGAGACCTGGGCCGAGACCACGACCGAGACCACGACCGAGACCGGAACCGAGACCTGGATCGAGACCACGGCCGAAACCGGAGCCGAGACCGGAGCCGAGACGGGAGCCGAGACGGGAGCCGAGACGGGAGCCGAGACGGGAGCCGAGACGGGAGCCGAGACCGGAGCCGAGACCGGAGCCGAGACCGGAGCCGAGACCGGAGCCGAGACCGGAGCCGAGACCGGAGCCGAGACCGGAGCCGAGACCGGAGCCGAGACCGGAGCCGAGACCAGGGCCAAGACCAGGACCGAGACCAGCGAGAACATAAGAAGAAGAGGAAGAAGCGTCACCGGTGAGGAGGGAACAGAAAGTGTTTGGTCGATAAGTGATATTTCCTGTGTTCCCAAAGACAGGGGTCACACACTATTTACTGTAGCTGGTATTTTGGCCCATTCCTCCTGCAGATCTCTTTAGTGATGTCTGAGGACTTGATGAATTCTCTGATTCCTGATTTGCTTCCCTCAGAGACTCTCGTTCCCCTGACGACCGTCACCAACGCAAGAAAAAGAAAAAGTCAAAACACGGAAAGGACGAGAAGTCAGAGGATCCCAGCGAGAAGGAGGACTGAGGAGCAAGGAGGAGGAGGAGGAGGAAATGAAATTGTTTGTATTTCAATAAAAAAAAAAACAAAGTTTCACTGGAGTTAATTGATTTTAAACACAAGTCTCTGGTCTCTCTCTCTGGTTTCTTTCCCTGGTCCCTCCCTGGTCACTCTCTGGTTCCTCCCTGGTCTCTCTTTGGTCTTTCTCTCTGGTTCCTCCCTGGTCTCTCTCTGGTCTTTCTCTCTGGTCCGTCTCTGGTCCGTCTCTGGTCCGTCTCTGGTCTCTCCCTGTCTCTCCCTGGTCTCTCCCTGGTCTCTCCCTGGTCTCTCCCTGGTCTCTCCCTGGTCTCTCCCTGGTCTCTCCCTGGTCTCTCCCTGGTCTCTCCCTGGTCTCTCCCTGGTCTCTCCCTGGTCTCTCCCTGGTCTCTCCCTGGTCTCTCCCTGGTCTCTCCCTGGTCTCTCCCTGGTCTCTCCCTGGTCTCTCCCTGGTCTCTCCCCGGTCTCTCCCTGGTCTCTCCCTGGTCTCTCCCTGGTCTCTCCCTGGTCTCTCTCTGGTCTCTCTCTGGTCTCTCTCTGGTCCCTCCCTGGTCTCTCTGGTCTCTCCCTGGTATTTCTGGTCTTTCTGGTCTCTCTCTGGTCCCTCCCTGGTTTCCCTCTAGTCTCTCTCTGGTCTCTCCCTGGTCTCTCTCTCTGGTCCCTCCCTAGTCTCTTTCTGGTCTCTGTCTAGCCTCTTCCTGGTCTCTCCCTGGTCTCTGATGGTTGTGTGTGAATGATCTGGACAGAGGTGAGTTTGTGAAAGATCCTCGGAGCTGAACTAAAGCTCCTCCGGTATTTCACACTCACACGAGAGGAACGCAGAGACACACAGTCCTCGGTCCAGACTCGGTCCAGACTCAGTCCAGGCTCAGACCTCAGTCCTGTGGGTTTGAGGTTCTTTGTGGTTGTGACTCTGCTTGGATTTGGAAGATTGGGAGAATCCTGAAGGTGAGTCTTTGTGATGTCACATGTTTCTCATGTTGGTCCTGAGTCTGATGTGAGTCTATTTTCTCGTTAGAGTTTAAAGCTAACTCTAACTCTGAGGGCTAGAGTTTAAAGTTGAGGTTCTGGTCTTTGTCTAAAACTCACTTTTATTCAGTGACAAAACTTTAAAACACTTTGATGTGACGCAGAAAAACTCAAAACTGTTCAAAGGCTTCGGCTTCAAGTCACTGCTGTGTCTATCCTGTATCTGTGTCTGTATCCTGTGTCTATCCTGTGTATGTATCCTGTGTCTATCCTGTATCTGTATCCTGTGTATGTATCCTGTGTGTGTATCCTGTGTCTATCCTGTATCTGTATCCTGTGTGTATCCTGTGTGTGTATCCTGGTCGTACCACACCATAGTACAAATGGCATTTCGTACTAAGGTCTGGATTTGCTCCATTGACTCCGTTAACCCCTCCCACCTGTTAACTCCTTTTGCAGATTGAAACCATTGGATCTGAGTTTCCCATGACATATGTAATGCGCCTGAGTGAGTTGTTAGAATTTAGCCTAGCTTTAGCCATCTCCTTTGCCGCTAACGGAGCCCGTGGGGAGTAGCGCCACAATTTTTTCCAGTGATTACATTTGCTAAACATTCCTCTTGCTCCGGCTTCAATTTCTTGATAGAACCAGACCAGAATACTTTACTATCGCATTTTTTCGCATTTAACTACAACCTGCCCGTGCGACGCAAACTGTTGACATCACCCACATCTAAACACAACGCTGATTTGTCGGTCAAAATTCAACCGATTGTATTCGCTAACCCAGGGACCAGACCCAGACGTTACATGCAGGAAATGATGATTGAGCGGAGTGTACGGATGGATAAGGCCAGGCTAATCCTGTGTCTGTATCCTCATGATGAGGTCCATGATGAGGTTCATGAGGTCCATGATGAGGTTCATAATGAAGTCCATGATGAGGTTCATGATGAAGTTCATGAGGTCCATGATGAGGTTCATGATGAAGTTCATGAGGTCTATGAGGTCCATGATGAGGTTTATGATGAAGTTCATGAGGTCCATGATGAGGTTCATGATGAGGTTCATAATGAGGTTTATGATGAAGTTCATGATGTCCATGATGAGGTTCATGATGAGGTCCATGATGAGATTCATGATGAGATCCATGATCAGGTCCATGATGAGGTTCATGAGGTCCATGATGAGGTTCATGATGAGGTTCATGAGGTCCATGATGAGGCTCATGAGTTCCATGGTGAGGTTCATGAAGAGGTCCATGATGAGGTCCATGATGAGGTTCATAATGAGGTCCATGATGAGGTTCATGGTGAGGTCCATGATGAGGTCCATGATGAGGTTCATGGTGAGGTTCATGATTAGGTCCATGATGAGGTTCATGGTGAGGTTCATGATGAGGTCCATGATGAGGTTCATGGTGAGGTTCATGATTAGGTCCATGATGAGGTTCATGAGGTGCATGATGAGGTGCATGATGAGGTTCATGATGAGGTTCATGATGAGGTCCATAATGAGGTTCATGATGAGGTCCATGATGAGGTTCATGAGGTCCATGATGAGGTTCATCATGAGGTCGATGTTAAGGTCATGATGAGGTCCATGATGAGATTAATTATGAGGTTCATGTGGTCCATGATGAGGTTCATAATGAAGTCCATGATGAGGTTCATGAAGAGGTCCATGATGAGGTCCATCATGAGATCCAGGATGAGGTCCATGATGAGGTCCATGATGAGGTTCATGATGAGGTCCATGATGAAGTTCATGAGGTCCATGATGAGGTTCATGAGGTCCATGATGAGGTTCATAATGAGGTCCATGATGAGGTTTATGATGAAGTTCATGAGGTCCATGATGAGGTTCATGATGAGGTTCATGATGAGGCTCATGAGGTCCATGATGAGGTTCATAATGAGGTCCATGAAGAGGTTCATAATGAGGTCCATGATGAAGTCCATGATAAGTCCATGATAAGTCCATAATGAGGTCCATGATGAGGTTCATGGTGAGGTTCATGATGAGGTCCATAATGAGGTTCATGATGAGGTCCATGATGAGGTCCATGATGAGGTTCATGAGGTCCATGATGAAGTCCATGATGAGGTTCATGAGGTCCATGATGAGGTTCATGATGAGGTCCATGATGAGGTTCATCATGAGGTCGATGTTAAGGTCATGATGAGGTCCATGATGAGATTAATGATGAGGTCCATGATGAGGTTCATGATGGGATCCATGATGAAGTCCATGATGAGGTTCATGAGGTTCATGATGAGGTCCATGATGAAGTTCATGAGGTCCCTGATGAGGTTCATGATGAGGTCCATGATGAGGTTTATTAGGTCCCTGATGAGGTTCATGATGAGGTCCATGATGAGGTCCATGATGAGGTTTATGAGGTCCCTGATGAGGTTCATGATGAGGTCCATGATGAGGTTCTTGATGAGGTTCATGATGAAGTGCATGATGAGGTCCATGATGAAGTCCATGATGAGGTCCGTGATGAGGTTCACGATGAGGTTCATTATGAGGTTCATCATGAGGTCCATGATGAGGTCTATGATGAGGTTCATGATGAGGTCCATGATGAGGTCCCTGATGAGGTTCATGAGGTCCCTGATGAGGTCCATGATGAGGTTCATGATGTCCCTGATGAGGTCCATGATGAGGTCCATGATGAGGTCCCTGATGAGGTTCATGAGGTCCCTGATGAGGTCCATGATGAGGTCCATGATGAGGTCCATGATGAGGTCTTCTGTTACAGATGGAGGTGACCTGGAGTCTCCTGCTCTTGTGCTTCTGCTGCTGCTCCTGCCTGCTCCAGTCTGGAGC